AAGTGCCCTGTTCTGGGCTTCCTGACTCTTCCTGGAGCCCAGCACCACATCTAACCCTCCTCAGCACTAGCTGGTGTCACCTCATCTGCCACCAGAAAGCGAAGGGTGTTAGAATGTGATGGTTTGTTCTGATTGTCAATTGGACAACGTAGGATTACCTGGGAAGAGTCTAAGTGAAGTCTAGATCATGTTAGGCTGCAAGGGACTAATCTGAGCACTCTGATTGATGTAGGAAGAGAAGACCCAGCCTAAAAGTAGGATGCACTATTTCCTGTGTTTGGATCTTAGATTAGATGAATAAAAAAGAAGAAAAAAGTGAGCTGACACATACATGCTTGTTTTCTCTCTCAGCAGTCTTAACTGGATGTGACTAGTGTTGGAACTAAAGGTACATGCCACCACACCTGGCCTAGCAGTAAATTTTAAAATTTTTTTAAACTTTTGTGTTTATTCTTTGTGCCTTTTACATCGTGCATCCCGATCCTATTCATTTCCCTGTCTCTTTGTATCCACCCCTGTCCTTGCTACCCACCTATTCACAAAAATATATTTTTTTTAAAAATTTATTTTTATGTGCATTGGTTATTTGCCATGGGTGTCGGGTCCTCTGGAACTGGAGTTATAGATAGTTGTGAACTGCTATGTGGGTGCTGGGAATTGAAACTTTGAAAGATGCCCTTAACTACTGAGCCATCTCTCCAGCCCCACAAAATAAAATTTAAGAGAAAAAAGAAGAGAAAAGAAAAAAGGAAAAATATCATCAGGGAAGCTGTAGTCTGACAGTGAGTCTAGTAAACCTTGTAAGTGTTCACCACAAAGAGTCATTGGTCTGGTCAAGGCCTCTGGTTTCTGCTACACTCTTGATGCTGGGCTCTCCTTGGATATCCTGTTGTTGCCCTGTGTTGTGGAGATCCTGAAGTTTTGCATCTATAGGACCAGCCCCTTCATGTGCTCCTGCAGATCACAGATGGAGTAATGTTGAGGTGGGCCAACTCATAACCTGGTTCTGGGCCTGGGTAGTTACAGGGCTGGTCAACCCGCCAGCTCACCCCATCCTCACCACCAGTGTGAGCTCTCCAGCATTGCCCCAGCTATTTTACCCCTTGCAGCAATGAGCAAAGGGCAGGGCCAGTTCTCCTGCTTTCATGCCCTCAGGGTTGGAACTCCCACACCTGCACCATCAGGGCCAGCTCTAACGAGTTACCTCGGCAAGGTGCAGGGGCCACTCTCCTGAGGGCTGCAGCTGGTGAGGGGCAGGACCAGCTAGCGCATCTGTCATAGGCATTGTGGGGTGGGGGTTGGGGAAGTGCGAAGGTAGTAGGTATCTCTTCCACCCACACCACCATATGCCAGATGAGGGGTGCTGCCAGATCTCCCATGCTCGTGTTCTTGGGGTGGTTCACCTGTAACCTTGTCAATAGGGTCAGCTCTGCTGTGCTAGCACTAAAGTTTTTAAATGTGGCTCATAAGGTCTAGTTCATCAGCTTCTGGGTACCTCTGAATGCTTCATGATCAGTTGGGTAATGTGTCCATGAAGAAACAGCATCACAGCCGGGCGGTGGTGGCGCATGCCTTTAATCCCAGCACTCGGGGGGCAGAGGCAGGCGGATCTCTGTGAGTTCGAGGCCAGCCTGGTCTACAAGAGCTAGTTCCAGGACAGGAACCAAAAAGCTAGGGAGAAACCCTGTCTCGAAAATTTAAAAAAAAAAAAAAAGAAACAGCATCAGGTCCTTCTTCGTCTTGTCAGTACATAGCCTACAATCTTCTCATTCTCATGCTCAGCGATGTACCAGAGATGACCAGGAAGATCCATAATAGATACAATATTTAATATTTCTTGGGAAAGAAGATGAGATTGTAGTATTCATGTTCATCAGGTCCCATGTTCTAACTTGTAGCTTTGCAGATAATCATAATGGTGTGTTGGCAGAAGTTTCCTGTCTCAGATCCAGTTAGTCCCAAATACCCGTCAGCTGCTTCCCAAATTACTGCACAGAGGCTTAATATTGCTTATAAATGCTCAACCAATACCTTAGGCTTATTAACTAGCTCTTACAATTTAAGTTCACCCATATTCCTTATTTATGTTCTGCCACGTGGCAGTACCTTTTCTCAGTATGGTGTGCCTATCTTGTTTTCTCTGCATCTTACTGGCATCTCCTGACTCCACCTTTCTTTCTCCGCCCTTCTTCCCATCATCTTTGCTTTGGTTGTCTTGCCTATACTTCCTGCCTGGCTACTGGCCAATCAGTGTTTTATTAAACCAGTTCAAATGACAAATCTTTACAGTGTACAAGAGGATGATCGCACAGCATTAGAGAGCCTGTCGTGCTAAGAACAGAGAGAGGATGTTATCTACTTGAAGAGGTAACATGTGCTTCCAGAAATTGAAGTTCAGCAACCAAAGCTGCAGGACAGTGTACCACAATCCTTCAAGTAACTTTGTTAGACTCTCTGATCTATCTTCCAGGTTTTTTGTTTGTTTTTTTCTACTCATTTTCAAGTTTCCTTTTCCTCCCCTCATTTTGGCTTATTTTTAGACAGGATATCAATATACCTCAAACTGTCCTGGAACTCAATGTCTTACTAAGAGTAACCAAGAACTTCTCTTCCTCCTGAGTACTAGAATTATTAAGCATGAGCTACATGGGTGTTTAGGAAGTCTTGGTGATCAAACCTAGTATTACACAGATGCTGTGCAAGTACCCTGACAGGTAAACTGTATCTTCAAACTCAATTTTCTCCTTTTAGAAAGTGGAGAAGGTTTTTGTTTGCTTTTGTAATGCAGTTTTCCATTCTTTACCCCCATTTGCCCCTTTATGCTTAAGATTGAGCCCAGGGCTTCACAGATGTAGAACAAGTGTTCCTACCCCTTAGTTATAGGTCTGTGCCTTGTTGGTTTGATTTTGTTTTTAGAGATAGAGTCTTGGTATATAACCCAGTCTGGCTTCAAACTTGTAATACTCCTGCCTCAATTTCTCAAGCACTGGGTTTACATGCATGTACTTCCATACAGGATATATTTTAATAATTTTATGTATTGGTATTTTGCCTGTATGTGTGTGTACCACATGTGTACCTGATGCCTATAGAGGACAGAAGAGGTGTCAGATCTTCTGGAACTAGAGTTAAAAATATACTGGATGAGCAGGAAGAACAACCAATACCCTTCATTGAATCATCTCTCCAGTGCCATATGTACACACACACACACACACACATATTTGTTTTTTTTTTTTTTTTTGAGGCAGGGTTTCTTTGGAGCCTGTCCTGGAACTTGCTCTGTAGATCAGGCTGGCCTTGAACTCACAGAGATCCTCCCATCTCTGCCTCCTGAGTGGTGGACTTAAAGGTGTACACCACCACCGCCTGGCTTATATTTTTTATAGTTACATTTATTATTGGCCAGGGGCAAACATATCATAGCATGTGTATAGAGGTCACAGGACAATTTCCAAGAGTTCTCTTTCCACCATATGGCTTTTGGAATGGAATTCAGATTATCAGGCTTGGGGGCAAACACCTTTACTCACTGAGATTTATTTTATTTTAAATTGGGGCTAGAGAGATACCTCAGTGGTTAAGAGCATTGACTGCTCTTCTAAAGAACTTAAGCTCAATTCCCAGCACCCATGCTGTGGGGCAATGCTCTTGTACACTGTAAAGATTTGTCACTCATTGAATTAATAAAATGCTGATTGATCGGGCAGGAAGTATAGGTAGTGCAGCCAGACTAGGAGAATTCTGGGAAGGTGAAAGGCAGAGCGTCAGTTACCAGCCAGACAGAGAGGAAACAAGATGAGAATGCCTTACTGAGAAAAGGTACCAAGCCACGTGACTAAACATGCACAGGAATTATGGGTGAATTTAAGTCATAAGTACTAGTTAATAATAAGCCTGAACAATAGTCAAGACAGTTAATAAGAATATAAACCTCTGTGTGTTTATTTGGGATTGAATGGCTGCAGGACTGGGCGAGACAGAAACCTTCGTCTACACACCAACATTGTGGTTCACACTGTAACTGCAGTTCCAGGGAATCCAGGGTTATCTTCTGGCCTCTCTGGGAACCAAGTACCCACATGTTGCATAGATATACATTTAGGCAAAACACATAAGCATAAATAAAATCTCAAAATAAAATTTAAATTATGTGTATGTGTGTGTCTATGTATGAGTATGTTTAAGAATAAGTTCCAGGTTATCTTTAGCTACATATATTACATATATAAACACATGTGCCCACGGAAGCCAGAAGAAGACAGTATTGTGAGGTGCCCAACCTAGGTCTTGGGAACCAAACTCAGGTCCTCTGGTGCCTTGAAGTTCTAAGGAACTTTCCTTCCTTCCTTCCTTCCTTCCTTCCTTCCTTCCTTCCTCTCTTTCTCTCTCTTTCTCTTCCTCCCTTCCTTTCTCTCTTTTTTTTTCCTCTTTTTTTAAAAAGATTTATTATGTATACAATTCTGTCTGCACGTATCTCTGCAGGCCAGAAGAGGGGACCAGATCTCATTACAGATGGTTGTGAGCCACCATGTGGTTGCTGGAAGTTGAACTCAGGACCTCTGAAGAGCAGGCAGTGAGTGCTCTTACGCTAAGCCATCTCTCCAGCCCCTAGGAGCTTTTTTATCTTTATGGAAGTATTTTCCACTCCCCAGCTCCCAAGACAGGGTTTCTCTGTATAGCTTTGGAGCCTGTCCCTGTAACTTGCTTTGTAGACCAGGCTGGCCTCGAACTCAGATCTGCCTGCTGCTGCCTCCTGAGTGATGAATTTAAAGTTATACACCACTGCCAGCAGGGAAGTATCTTCTATATTGTTTTTTTTTTATGATTAGGTTGAGTAACAATAATTTGTAGTTAAATATGGAAGAGCATGGACTGACCCACTGGTGAGTGTGGGGGTCAGTTCTGTCATCAGCGGTCTTTGCGTGAAGCAAGGGTAAGAAGAGAAGCATGTGACACAATGATGCTGTCTAAATGTTGACTTTTTTTTTTTTTTACAGTTCCGACACCTAGCAGATTTACTAGAAGAGTGTCAGGTATGTGCTCTCTTTTATGACATACTGCTAAAATTCTATTTTAACAGAGGAATATCTTAAGTGAACATAAATTCATCTCCAAACTGGAATTATAAGCTATCAGTATTATATAAATTTATTATACTTAAAGTAGAACTACCTGTGATTCATATAAGTAAATATGTACATATATTATTATAATTGGTCTTTTTGCATCTGTGTCTTAATATTTTTCTATATTTACAAATTATTTCTAAGAGTAATTCTTCATGTTGCTATTTCTGGTATCCTAGATTATGCTGTCATTAAATTTTCTCATGAGTTTTTAAGTCATTTGAATTATAATCTTTAGTTATAGCGTGGAAAGTGGTGTTCTCTGTTGAGAGACTGAACATTGTCTCCGTCTTTTCTCTTTTTAGAGGCAATGCACAGATAAGGCTACAGGGAAGAGGTATCTCTGATATGCCTCTTTTGTACCACTATCTCAAGAATAAGCACTTTAGTTGTACCAGAACTCTAGCTCATTTTTATGTTCTTGTAGTTAACAAAAATTAATGCTTTCATAATATAGAAAATAACAGAAATTTGTGTTGCCCCACCTTTTCCTTTTTGAGTCAGGGTCTTATGTGTCCCAGGTTGCCCCTGACTATTCAGTGTGTCCAAGGATGACCTTGAGCTTCTTTCTGATTCTCTCACTTGTCCATTTATTTAGTGTTGAGCATGAAACTTTGTACTCTACCAAATGAGCTAAATCCCCGCTTTCTGAGTTTTTTGTTATTGTTGTTGTTGTTTTCTTTATGGGACTAGTTTAATAACATTTTTTGTTATGTAATGTGGTCCAAGTTATATTATTTTTTCCAGTAGATATAATAATACTTTTATATAAGGTGAAGAACCACACAAATCAAGTCATGTAGCGAGAGAAAGACCCCTGCAAAGCAAGGTTGTGGTGGAGGAGATGTGTGTGACTCGAGAGATCAAAGTCTCAAATTATTCTTATTTTTATAATATTTAATGCTGGGTGGTTTTAGCGTATACCTTTAATCCCAACAATTGAGAGGCAGAGGCAGGTGGATCTCTGTGAGTCTAAGGCCAGCCTGGTCTACAGAGTGAGTTCCAGGACAGCCAGATCTACAGAGAAATCCTGTCTTGAAAACTAGCCCCCCAATTATTTATTTATCTTTATTTCATATTGTGGGTGTTTTGTCCACATGCATGCCTGGTTCTGAGATGAACAGAAGAGGGTATTGGGCGGGCCCCTGGAACTATAGTTATAGACAGTTGTGAGTGAGGTGCCATGTAGGTGGTGGGAATTGAACCTGGTTTATCTAGAAGAGCAGCCAGTACACTTAACCACTGAGCCATTTCTCCATACACTGCCATACCTGCTCTGAGTCCTTCCTTCCTTCCTTCTTTCTGTTTCTTTCTTTCTTCCTTCCTTCCTTTTTTTAAAAAAATTATTTTTATGTACATTGATATTTTACCTGCATATATATCTGTGTGAGGGAGCTGGATTCCCTGGAACTGGATGTAAGCTGCCATAACCTAGGTCCTCTGGAAAAGCAGCCAGTGCTCCTAACTTCTCTCTCTCTCTCTCTCTCTCTCTCTCTCTCTCTATCTCTCTCTGTCTCTCTCTCTCTCTCTCGTCAGGATTTCTCTGTGTAACAGTCCTGGCTGTCCTGGAACTAGCTTTTATAGACCAGGCTGGCCCTGAACTCATAGAGATCCATTTGCCTCTGCCTCCCGGGTGCTGGGAACAAAGGCATGCGCCACCACCCTGGCCCCACACTTTAACTTTAAAGACTTTTATGTGGATGCTGAGGGATACTCAAACTTTGTAAGGGATAAGTCCCGCCCCTTGGGGGGCGTGTTCACCTCGGGCTAATGTTTGCCTATAAATTTGGCAAGCGTGCTCCCAGCCATCCCTTCTGCTTTCCTGGTCTCCGCAGGAACGGTGGTTCTGTAAGTCTATTTCGCCATTAAAGCTGTATATATATTTTTACAATCTGTCTGCATTCGTTTACGCCGTTACAAAACTTGTATTACAAGCATTACCAGCATTAACAGGCTAGCCCTCTCCCAAACTCTCTTCTTTTTATAAGGTCCTACTTTCTTATGACCTTAATAACCTCTTTAAAAACTTTTTTTTTTTTTTTTTTTTTTTTTTTTTGCTTTTTCGAGACAGGGTTTCTCTGTGGTTTTGGAACCTGTCCTGGAACTAGCTCTGTAGACCAGGCTGGTCTCGAACTCACAGAGATCCACCTGCCTCTGCCTCCTAAGTGCTGGGATTAAAGGTGTGCGCCACCACTGCCTGGTTTTTAAAGACTTTTTAAATATAATTTTTAATATAATAGTATTGATATGGCTTCAATGCATAGATTTGGTGGGAAGGCATAATTCAGTCTACCACTGGATTTTTAAATTACATTATGCAACTGTTAGTGACATTTCAGTTTAAGATGACTATGGACAGGCTCCAAAGCTACGCAGAGAAACTATCTCAAGAGAAAAAAAAGGTTTAAGTGTGGCAGCACACATCTATAATCTCATTATGGGGAAGATGGAAGACAAGTGGGTTCATGCAGCTCACTAACTAGTTAGCCTAGCTGAGTCTGAGCTCCAGATTCAATTAGAGACCATCTCAAAAAATAAGGTGAGGGCCTAGGGTAGTGGTGCATGCCTTTAGTTTCGGCACTCAGGAGGGATAGGTAGGACTACATAGTCAGCTAGAGCTACGTAGTGAGACCCTATCTCAAATGCATACATATATACATACATGAATATATACATACATACCTATTGAACAGACAAATAAGGTGTAGAGTGAATAAGAAAGGCACCCTCTGGCATCCACATGACATCCCATACTTTTTTTTTCACACATTTTATAATTTCCTTTTTTTTTCTCTCTCCAATTTTAGTCTGTGCAGAATCCTATAACCCTGATGAAGAAGAGGAAGATAGTGATCCAAGGGTAAGAACTAAAAGTATTCATTTAGAATTGCATTTCCTGTTGATTCTCTTCTACTACATACCTCAGATTAATCACTGATAGTGAAAATAAATGTGAATTAAAATCTCAGTGAAAGGTTACATACTCTCTTGTGCAGCCTTAACTTTTACTGTTTGCATGCCTGTAAGTGTGGACTGTAAAGCTAAGTAGGCAGCCATAGGTGGTATAGAGAAAGGTTAAGGAGGATGGTGAAAGGATGCCTGTGCCGTGAAAATGGAAAGGTTACTGAAGGTGCAATGGTCAAGCAGGGGAGAGGGAAAAAAGCGGAATCAGAACAGAGGAAGGAAGAGAAAGAACAAAAGCAAATTTTGTATGAAAAATATTGAAGAGAAACTTAATGTTTTGTGACTGATAAAAATAAATTTTAGCCAGGTGCACATTTTTAATCCCAGCACTTTAGAGACAAGAGGCAGGCAGATCTCTGGGAGTTGAGAACAACCTGGTCTACAGAACAAGTTCCAAGACAGCCCGGGCTACACAGAGAAACCATGCCTTGTAAAACCAAAATAAATGAATAAGTGAAGGAATGGTGAATAAATGAATAAATGAAAATAAAATTTAAAAGTGTCTACGGGATGCCATTTTTTATACACTAGATTGAAACTAGCCCTGGTTGAGAGTTTGGTGAGGAGAACCTGACTAACTTTGCAGAAGCCTTAGACATAGTCAGTTTAGAATTAGTCAGATTCTGCAGGTTCTGGGCAGAATTCTCCCCAGGGATTCACAAATGGAGATCATATATTGTAGTAACAGCAAAAGCTGGAAAGAACCTAAAATGACTCTGATAAAGGATTATCACCTAGGGCTAAATGGTGTTACATGCAAAGTAAGAGAGTCTGGAGGATAGGATTCATTCCATAGCATATATGTTTAAATGAGGTGCTTTTTAATTTTATAATTAATTTTGTAAAATAAAAATAATTAATGCAATTGTTTATGTCTCTGCAGAGACTTAACAACTGAAAGAATATACTCTAGATTGTAAATGTTGTTGGGATAGGATCCTAGTTGACTATATTCATTGTTTGTTTTTTTTCGAGACAGGGTTTCTCTGTTAGCTCTAGCTCTCCTGGTACTCTGTATACCAGGCTGGCTGGCTGCCTTTGCCTCCATCATAAATCATAACAGCATTGTTTTTTTTTTTTAAACTTTTTATTTATTTAACTTTATTATGTTCGTTGGTGTGAAGGTGTCAGATCTCATGGAACTGCATTTTCAGACAGTTGTGAGCTGCCATGTGGGTGCTGGGAATCGAACCTGGGTCCTCTGGAAGAGCAGTCAGTGCTCTTAACCGCTGAACCATCTCTCCAGCCCCTAACAGCATTGTTCATTTGGAGTCATCCTTAACTCTTTTTGCTTTTTTTTTTTATCACTTCATCTAATTTTTCAATAAATTTAGTTCTACTCCCTTCAAAATCTATCCAAACTTCTCTACCTCTTGATGTTGTTTCATCTTCGGCACAGTGACTGTGCCTAACCTACTGCTATTACAGCCAGCAACTGCAGTTCCACAGTTACCAGCCTGCTTCTCTGGCTGAAGCCTGGCAGGAGTTCTTTTCCTACAAGCCTTGGCTTTGCCACTGCCACTAAAGGTAGTTTTAACTAAATCTGTATTTTCTATCTATAAATAAAACTTGAGATTCAAAGGCCGGCATAAAAACCTGCTAGCTCAGAAAGGTTGAGTAACACCTCGCTAACCTTTTCTCCTTGTTGGTGGCTCCCAAAAAGCCTTCCCTACTACTACCTGTGTGTCTTTTTATCTCTTTCAGATGCCTATCTGATGCCCTCTGATGATTATTTTCTGTCACCTAGTTGCTAAGTGAGCCTCTTGACCCAAGGTTAATTTTATTTAATCAAAGCAAATGCAAACTTGGAGTTCACAGTGTGATCAAATATCCCTCAACATTTTGGTACCTTCATGGTTACCTCCTAGTCCAAACTATAGTGTAAGCTTCCCAGCTTCCTCTAGTCCTAACTGTAATCCTAATCCTAACCCTAATTTAACAGCCTTGTGATCCTTCAAATATTAAATCTCTTCCTGAATTGATAGCCTCAACCCACCCCCAAGTTGTTAAGAGAAAGTTCCATTTATTCTATGATGTATGTGTACCACGCTCTCTGAGTTTGGACATCCCTCTCTCAACTGGCCTGTTCTGATCTTTCCCTGTCTGCATCAGTCTCATCTCTCTCTGTTACCTGTCACGTCTGCTATTCATTCTCCCACCAGAAGATGCCCTGTGTTGTACTGCTGGAGATCTTAACATAGTTGGCACTTCCTCGGGAGGGCCTCACCTAGCCAGACGTAAACATACTCTCATACTTATCTCCCTTGCTTACTTTTGGTCCTTAGTCTTGTTGGACTCCAACATAATTTGTGTGTTTATAGAATGTAAGGGCATACAGTTTTATCTATGTGTTCACTGTTGTCTCCAGAGTGGAGAGTGCCTGGAATCGAGTAGATGTACAATATGTATACTTTAGATTCCCTGCTATCCAGATGAGATAGACAGCTGATGATTGCCAGCTGCACAGACAGCCAGTGGCTCTAGCAGTGCTCCAGAGCACTGCCTCCCCAAAGCAGCACACTGCTTGCTGGTTTTGTGGAATTAGACTTGCTTAAACACACACACAATGTTTTGCTTTTTTTTCTTATCCCCTTCACACACACTTTTTAGGAAAAAGAGATACATTAATTTTTAAATGGGTGATTTTCAAATGGACAAAATAATTATCTTGGCTTTATTTCAATTGACAGGTGGTTTATCCCAAAACTGATGAGCAGAGATGCAGGCTTCAGGAAGCTTGCAAAGATATTCTTCTTTTCAAAAACCTTGACCAGGTAACATTGATTTGAAAAAAAAATTGTTATGTTATTTTAACTTTTTCTCTATTTGGCATTTAAGCAGATTTTAGCATGTTAGCCACAGTTGAATTAGTCTTGTATCTTCAGATTTATTGATTTAATAAAATCACTTTTATTCTGTTGGTCACTATAATGAAGCTATGGTTTTGTTTTAAGACAGTCTTGCCAGCCAGTGGTGAACGTATTATACATAATATTATATGTAGTACATGTATTATATTAGTATCATTGTTTAGATCTTTTGAGACAGGGCCTCTCTACATAGCCCTTACTATCCAAATCACTGTGTAGTCTTGCTGGCCTTGAACTCACAGAGGTCTGCTTGCCTCTGCCTCCCCAGAGCTAGGATTAAAGGTGAGCGTCTGGTGAAATGCCTATTTTTACACCCTTACTGCCAGGAAGATGACTTAGTAGCTGTACAAATATGAGGACTTGAATTTGGATCCCCAGTACCCAGATAAAATACCCAACATGGTTCCATACATTTATAACTGGAGCACAGTGGGAGTGGAAACCTGCAGATTCTCTGAGTTCACTGGCCTACTAGTCTAGCCAATCAGTAAGCTCTGGGCTCAGCAAGAGACCCTGACCCAAAAAGTAAAGTAAGAAACAACTGAGAGGGGGCTGGAGAGATGGCTCAGTGGTTAAGAGCATTGCCTGCTCTTCCAAAGGACCCGAGTTCGATTCCCAGCAACCACATGGTGGCTCACAACCATCTGTAAAGAGGTCTGGCGCCCTCTTCTGGCCTTCAGGCATACACACAGACAGAAAATTGTATACATAATAAATAAATAAATATTTTAAAAAAAAAAAAGAAAGAAACAACTGAGAGAATATACTCAGTGTCAGCCTCTGGTCTCCACATGTATGCACACACATTCCCAAGTACAAATGTATATAATTTTTTAAATTTCAACTTTATAATAAAGTCAAAAGAATAGTACTATGAACACCTATACCTTTAAAACTGTGTGTGTGATGTATGCATACAACATATGCACATGTATATCCAGGTATGTGAGACCAGAGAGGATGTTTGGTGTCCTGCTACCACAGCCGTACTCCCTTCCGTCTCTAAGGAGCCCGACACTAAGCCTGGGAAAATTCTCCTGTCTTTACCTTTCACCCTCACCTGTGCTGGGGTGACAGCCATATCCAGATTTTTTATGTATGTCCTAGGGATTTGAACTCAAACCATGTTTGCACACCTAAGCACGCTCACCCGCTGAGCCAACTCCTCAGCCCCCATATGCCTTTGAACTGCACTGGCTAGTTAACATGTTCCATCGTTTATACTCTCCTCACATGTAAGTTTGTATACAGAGAGAGGAGACAGGAGGATTTTTGTTCTGAGCTGTTTATCCATACGTAAGACTTTATGACTTTCCATCACAGGATTTTTGGGGTGTATTTTCTAAGAATAAAAAATATTTTAATTGTACATTTTTAATTTGCTTTGTGGGTTTTTGATTTCATTTGGCCTAGGCTGGCCTCAGATTCCCTGTGTAACTGAGAATGATCTCAAGGACTGGGATTACACGCATATGTCACCACTCCCAGCCTAAAGGTTAATACTATTTTCAGTGCTACTGAGGATTGAACTCATGGCCTGTAGCATGCTAGGCAAGCTCTCTACAACTAAACTATATACCCAGCTCTTTTTTCTGTTTCCTAGTCGAGACTCATATTGTGATTTGATTGTGATTATGTCATTTTGTTCCCCCTAGTTTTGTTTCCTTTAGGGTAGAATGTCCCCTTTCCTGACACCTCATCACAGTTTCTGGAGGATGCAGGTTATAAGAGGACCTGCTCAGAACAGGCCTAAGATGTCCCTTAGTTTGGATTATTCATGAACATTTGAATGTATTGCTCATATTTTTTCTTTTTATGAATATTTTTTTCTTGGCAGCATTTAATTAGAAAATTCCAGGGTATGTTGGTCCACGTTTTACATGAGCATGGATGGCACACAGTAGCAAGCATTCTATTTAGTCTGTCAGTTTGTATGGTATCCAACATCCATGGGACTTCAGGGCTGAAGATGGCTTTTGGCATTTAATTTTAGAAAGCATAGTCACTCTGACAGAAATTACATGGAATTTCCAAAAAATAAAATTATTCCACTCTATAACTGTTTCTTTGTTTTATTTGCTTATCTGGTTTTTTGTTTGTTTGTTTGTTTTATACTTCTGGTCCTGAGAATTGAACTTAGAACCTAACTAAGCTGTTCTGTATGTGTAGGCATATGTCGCGGAGGTGCGTGTGCGTGAATGGAGAGGCCAGAGGTCAGCCTTTGGTGTCGTTCTTTACATGCTGTGTATTTTTTGTTTTTTCCTTTTTTGGTTTTCTGAGACAAGGTTTCTCTATATAATAATAGTCCTGGCTGTCCTAGAACTCTCTCTATAGGCCAGGCTGGCCTCAAACTCACAGAGAGCCGCCTACCTCTGCCTCCTGAGTGCTGGGATTAAAGGATTAAAGTCATGTGTGACCACTTCCCGGAGCTGCGTGTTTGTTTGTTTGTTTGTTTATTTATTTATTGTTTTTGGAATCAAATTCAGGCTTACTGAGCATCTCTCCAGTGTGTCATTCCCTGCCTTCCCGCTTTTTTGGACACTTGAAGTCCTGTAGGCCAGACTGCCAAGAATGATCTTGAACTTCTGGTCTCTGGGTTTTTTGCTTTCAAGACAGGTTTCTCTGTGTAGCAATCCTAGCTGTCCTGGAACTCACTCTGTAGACCAGGCTGGCCTTGAACTCACAGAGATCTGTGGGTGCACCACCATCACCCTCTGCTTTTAACCTCAATGTAAAACTGATATTTTTTTTGTGTTTCCTGCCCCAATATTAATGTTTCTATCTAACAGGGGGACTCCAATTGAAAGCTGAGACCAGTATTTGGTCAGAATTTAGTAGTTTTTTTTTTCCTTTCCTTTTTTTTTTTTTTTAGATTTATTTATTTTTTATGTTTACTGTGTTCTGCTGGCAAATATGCCTACATGCCAGAAAAGGGCATTGTATTTCATTGTAGATGGTTGTGAGCCACCATATGGTTGCTGGGAATTGAACTCAGGACCTCTGGAAGAGCAACCAGTGCTCTTAACCTGAGCCATCTCTCCAGCCCCTGTTGTTTCCTTTTTATTATATTTATTCATATATTTGCTTTCTGGTTATGACATACAGTGTTGGTAAGTATGTGTTTACATGTGTTATACATAAGTGAAATTTTATATTACCTGCCCATTAGGTACTACTTCTTAAGTAACATTATGTGGTAAAAGTTCTCAGATTTGCCTCCTTTAGTCATAAAAATTGAGGTAGAAATTAAACCCTTTTTAGAGGTTAGTGCTGTGCTGGCCTACTCAGATGATAACCTCCAAGGCTGTCTGCTCTGTAGATTTGATAATCTTACTAATGTCCACATCTCTAGGAAAAGTGACAGCCATGGTCTTATAGACAGTATACTGGAGTTATCTAGTGACAATGTGGGTGAGACTCGGGGAATTGACACCGTGATTTAGATTATCAGTTTTTGTTGGAAACCTTTTATTTTTATGATAATGATTATTCTATATTAATTATGAAAATTAATGGGTTTCATTCACTGTGATATTTCCATATATGTAAATGTTTCTTCCAACTTCCTATCCCTCTTCTTTCTATTCAGCCTTTCCTTTCCATGGTCCTTCACTGTCAGGTTATTTTTTCTGTTGTTCAGTTTCACATGTAAGAGAAAACATGACCACCTGTTCTTCTGTGTCCGTCTGCCTTCATTTAACATGATGCTGTTTCCATCCATTTCCTACAGACAACATGATTTCATTTTTCTTCACTTATCTCATTGTGTAGCTACCTTATTTTCTTCTTCCTCTCACATATTGGTGGGCATATAGGCTGATTTCATCTTTTGGCTCTTATGAATAATAACAAGAATGAATATGTATTTTTTTGTCTGATGACTTCATTTCCTTTTGATGACTATACAATAGTGGAATAGCTGGATCATATGCATTTGTATTTTTAGTCTTCCGAGGAGCCTAGCCACAGTTTTCCATAACGGCTCTACTAATTTACATTCCCACCACCAGTATTCACGGCTTCCTTTCCTTTCTATTCCCACCAGCATTTGTTGTTTTTATAATGCCCATTTATAGTTGCATAAAATCTCACTATAGTCTTGGTTTGCATTTCCCTGATGACTCAGGTGATAATACTGAGGCTCCCCCATCTCTTTGCTTTTTAGAAGAGATCCCATACAAATATCTTAGCTTGGCCTTGAATTCTGCCTAGGATAATCTTGAACTTTTGATCCTTCTGTTTCGATCTCCCCAGTGCTGAAATTAAAGGTTTTATTTTTTTATTTTTTATTTCAGCACTGGGAATCAAACCCAGGGCTTCTTGAATGCTAGGCAAACACTCTATCAACTGAACCATATCCCTGGTCCTGTGTACTTTTTTTTTCTTCCTATTTTTGAGACAGGGTCTTTCTATTACTTAACTCTGGTTGACTCTCCTGGAGTTTACAGAGACCTACCTGCCTTTGCCTCACAAGTGCTGGGATTAAAGGTGTGTTACACTTTCCTGGCCTTCTACTTCTTTTACTAAATGTCTCTTCAAATCATTTGCCTATTTTTTAAAACATGATTTTGGGCTTCTAAGAGGTTTTGCTTGTTTGTTTAATTTTTCTTTTTTGACATGATGGGTCTTGTACATGCTAGGCAAGTGATCTATGGCTGAGCTTCACCTTCAGCCCTGATGTTTGATGCTTTTTTATTTTTTTGTTTAATCCTTTATATATTTTGGATATTGATTCTCTGTCAAATGAGTTAGAAAGCTTTTTCAAGAGAATACTATCTCAAAAGAATTGACAAACCAGTTTTAAGAAACTGACAGGATTATCAAAATTCCAAGATAGCTGGTGTGGTGGCTCATGCCTTTAATCCCTGAACTGAGGAGGCAGGAAAAGTTCAAGGCCAACCTGGTCTACAGAGCAAGTTCCAGGACAGCCAAAGGTACAGAGAAAAACCATCTTGAAAAGAAAAATTCCAAGCCCACCTGGGTTATATAGTAAGACCCTGTCAAAAAAACAGAGAAGGGGCTTGGCACTTGTGCCATCTGTTAAAGGGGGTCCAAAGCCAAATAGTGCAAAACACTCATTTCCGAGAGCTCTTAGGTTCCTGTTTAAATGGTGGTGGTGATCAAATGTATATAGGCATACAAATTGGAATAAATACAACTTTGTGGGATGTTTGTTTCTGTTTGGGGCGGGGGCTGGGGGTAAGGGCATGGGCATGCCCAGCTGACCATCTTGTTTTCTCAGTAAATGTAAAAGCCATCTGTTCTCTTTGTGTGTACCTTAGGAGCAGCTTTCTCAAGTTCTCGATGCCATGTTTGAAAGGATAGTCAAAACTGACGAGCATGTCATTGACCAAGGAGATGATGGAGACAACTTTTATGTCATAGAACGGTAGGGAAGTTTTGAGATTATTCGGCCTCACTTCCTTGGATTATTAATTTAGTACAAAAGCCTATATTATGCTGAGCCCAAAAATGTCTAGTGTCAGGTAAACAAGCTTCCCAAAACCTTTCAGGGATCATAGCTGCCTCTGTGTACTGCAGTCCTGAGTAAAACCCTATTTGGGGAGATGCCACTTATAGTTGAAAATCTTCTTTTTCGTTAGATAAAGAATGACATGGTGTGTTTTGTAAGCATGTCATTTGCCCGTGTTCAGTTGAATTGATCCCTGCAGAGTATCTGTGACTGTGTATTGTCTTAGTGTGACTCTTTGGTTTTCAGCTTGCTGTGAAAAGTGAATGTACTCCCCTTACCTCCATGCTTTCTGACTCTGCACCAAGTCTAAGCTGTGCTGGGTTTACTTCCCTGACTTACTGCATCTTAGTCTCTTGAGTTGATAGTATTCCCCTGAGGAAGAGTAGGGGTTCCTTCTTACTCTTCCTCAGTCCTAAAGGAAGGAGTTCAAGGTAATAAAACATTATCATACATCCATTATCTTCTGCTATTCTTAATGTTAAAAATTTTTTTTATTAAGCTGAGCAGTGGTGGTGCACACGTTTAATCCCAGCACTCTGAAGGAAGAGGCAGGCAGATCTCTTTGAGTTCAAGGACTGGTCTGTATAGTGAGTTCTAGGATAGCCAGAGCTACGCAGAGTATGAAGATTTACTTTTACTTATGTGTATGCATACTTAAATAAATAAATTTGTGTGCATGTGTAAAAAATTAAGGTTATTATTTTTATTTATGTGTGATGGGGCAGGGGAGGTAGGGGTAGTTGGGGGTTGTACATTTGAGTACAGTGCCAACAGAGGCCAGAAGAGGACATCAGATAGATCCCTTGGAGCTGGAGTTAAAATGATTATTGTGAGCTGCCTGATGCGGTTGTTGGAATCTGAACTTGGATCCTCTGGAAGAGCAGTATGTGTTTTTAACCATGGATCCAGCTCTCCAACCCCTCCCCCCCTTTTTTTTGAGCCATCTCTTCAGACCCAGAATAATTGTTTTTGTGACTTTGACTGTTATTAGGGTTGTCTGTGGGTGACTCTGCACATCTTTTCAGTATCTTTATCTGTTTTGGAGTGATTGCATGGGAACTTACTTGTGCATATGTGTTCATGTGTGTTTGTGATTTCACATATGTCATTGTGGCTGCCTCAGTGTTTGGAGGTAAGAGGACATGCTCGGGTGCTGTTCTGTTTGAAACAGGCTCCCATGGACCTGGAGCTCCAGGCCTAGTGTAAGACAGACGGCCATCAAGCTCAGGGATCTTCCTGTCCCCTGCATACCTGGTGCTGATTAGAAGTGCAGGCCTCCACAACTGATATTTGTTTGTTTGTTTTTTGAAACATGATTTCTTTGTGTAGTCCTGGTTGTCCAAAACATGATTTATAGACCAGCATAGCTTCGAACTCACAGAGATCCATCTGCCTTTGCCTCCTGAGTGCTGGGATTAAAGGCGTGCTCTACCACCACCCAGTATGCAAGCCCTTTGCCAGCTGAGCCATCACCCCAACCCTCAGAGGTTCTCTGAGTGACTTGTTAATGTGATGTTAGTTGTTTTACAGAAATTCCGAAAAGTTGGTTTGCTTCTGTGATCCATTGAGCATGTCTATTTCTCTAAATGTTGGTCAATTCTGAGTACTTTTCTTGAGTTATAATAGGTAGAAATTTGTGTGATTATTTTAATCAGTTCTATCCTTGTTTCCAGCAAACCATGAAAGAAAAACTTTACAGTCAATACTATTCACAGAATACTTGGTAAAAATTAAGCATCTTTTTGTAATAAACTGTTTATCAGACAAGATATAGTGGCTTATCAGGAAGCTAAGGCCACAGGTCAGGACTTGAAGGCCAGCCTGGGTTAGACTGAAAGACTGATATTAAGGAGGGGTTCCTGTGCTCTCCATTTCCAGAAAATTCTGTGCCAAAAGCTCTGGCCAGTGTAATAGGCAAAAGTAAAGTAAGTACGTATAGAGGAAAAGAAGTGAAATTCTCTGCAGGAAAAATCCACAGGAGTGCTACAAAACAATTACTGAACCGAGTTAATTTATCACGGTTATAAAATACAAAGTCAAATGCAGGGCTGGAGACATGGCTCAACAGTTAATAGTACTGACTGCTCCTCCAGCATTGGGTATTGAACCGTGTAGCTGAGGATGATCTTAAATTTCTGATCCTCCTGCTTCTAACTCCTGAGTGCTATAATTACAGACATGCAGCTATGCCTGGTTTATCTAGATCTAGGATCAAACTCAGGGCCTCCTGCATGCTAGGCAAAATCTCTATCAAGTGAGCTATGTCCCAGCTCTGCTCCCCTATGTTTTATATGTAGCAGTCAGTTCTTAAACTTATCAGAAGTAATTAATTATTTTTTGTCATTCTTCTAGGGGAACCTATGACATTTTAGTAACAAAAGATAATCAAACACGTTCTGTTGGTCAGTATGACAACCGTGGCAGTTTTGGAGAACTAGCTCTGATGTACAATACCCCGAGAGCTGCTACCATTGTCGCCACCTCAGAAGGCTCCCTTTGGGGATTGGTGAGTGAGAGAAATGCATGGTGTAGTGTTGCCTGTCTTTCATAGCTAGTTATCTGAAAAGTATGCTCTAAAAGGTCTCATGTACATGTATCTTTCCATTTTCCTCAGTGACTTAACAGCAAATCCTTTAAGTTACAGAAATGTGAGTGGTCTGTAACCTAGTAGTGACAGGGCTCTTGCTACATTTTTCCTTGTTTTTATAAGCAATTAGACATAGATAACTCTATGTATTTAAGTAGTTCAAGAGGGCTACAGAAGAGAGTCCCTATCACTAATGTACCTGTGCACACAAAGGAGGAGGAGGAGCAGTAGTATAGGGATGGTAGTGTCAACAGCAGTCACTTTGTGTTCTGTCATTTCTTCTGTGCCTATGTCCAGTGCTTCCTTCTTCAGGAATGCTAATGACCATAGGGAAATGGATTTTTGCATTAAGCAAAACACTACTATGGTTCTTGTATCATATTATCTACTATCTGCCTCATTTCATTTCTTTTTATATTAAGTTACATGTCCATAATTTGTACCTCTTCCTTCAAAAATATCTTAATACAAATTCCATATTTCACTTTTGTTGTTGGGTTTTTTGTTGTTGTTTTTGTTTTTCAAGACAGTTTTTTTTTCTCTCTTCAGCCCTGATTATCCTGGAACTCACTCTCTAGAGCAGACTGGTCTCAAACTCAGAGGTCTGCCTGCCTCTGCTTCCTGAGTGCTGGGATTAAAAGTGTGTGCACCTGGCCTCCATATTTCACATTTCACTTTTAAAATAAGGGTATCTGTAATAGTTTCTACTTGCCTTATAAGAATTAATTCATGTCATATAATTATCATAGAATTAACCAAAATTTTTAAAATTTGATAAAAGCATATATATAGTTTTAAAAAAATAAGTGAATCCTGCCAGGCATGTTAGTGCATGCCTTTAATCCCAACAGAGGCCCAGGGATCTTCAAGGTCAGCCTAGTTTGCTAGTGAATTCTATGCCATTAAGGCTTCAAAGTGAGACTCTGTCTCAAAACAAACAAAAAGAGTGATCCCAAACAGCAAAAACATAAGGAAATTGATTCCCCAATACACACCATAAAGATCTAAAAAATAAAGACAGAACTATCTTTAATGCAGAAAAGTGATGCATTGTTAATGGGGAGAACCCAAAGTGCTGAAGAAAAAAAATCCTGTCAGCCAGCATTGTATACTTTCTGAAAAGATCCTTCAAGAATTCAGATATTCTCATATGATGGAGACTGAACCTAAAGAAATGGCCAAAACTGATTCAGAAAGGAAGCAATAAAAGGAAATTTAGAGATTCTTAAACCCAAAAGAACACAGAGTAAGTGTAGTAAACATAGTGACCTGCCTTACTTCAGATTTGTAAATTGTGTAACATAGTTTAAGCAAAAGTTTGTAGAGATGGTTGTTGTACAAGAAGTATTTGAGACAATTATATTTTATAAAGGGAGAAAGGCAAGATCAAAGTAAAACTTCGATACCGGTTGTAATTTATTTAAAAACCACTGCAAAGGGAAATCACACCATGCAACAGGGCTCACACAGAAGGTTTTTCGGAAGAGAAGAGAGAAGGAACAAAGGGGGCAGAGTGACAAGAGAAAGTGGGAAGTGGGGAGAGAGAGAGACAAGAGGTGGGCAAGGCCCACCTTTTAAAAGGGAATGTAACGAATATGCACAGGAGGTGCTCTTAGTGGCTGCAGCTGAGGACACATCTGTTGGACCCTAGAGTCCAAACACTGAGGAGGAGTTGCCCCCAGAGATCACCTCTCACACCACAGCTGATGTAAAAGCATCAGGATTTTATTAATTCTGTCATGACATGGTCTTTCAGCATTAGAGGCCAGAAAGACCCTGAATAGCTGGTACAGGCTACTTTTAAAGGAAAAGGCTACAGAAGCAAAGGGGGGTGTCTGGGGGTTGTCCTTTGACTATTATGATTGGCTTATTCAAAAGGGCTACTATCAATAATTGGCTGGAGAGCGGTTGCCAGATCAGATGAGGTAAGAGGTCACTTTGACCGTTTCCCAGGGACTGTGTCAAAACATACGTGTGTGGGTAATTGTTCAGGAACTGAGTCAACATCACAAAGACTCAGGGAAATGGAAAGTTCCCAACATTTCAGTAGCTGTTAGGTCCTTGGTTCCCGGGGGGGGGGGGGGGACAAGCATTACTGCTGAGACTGAGAGAGCTCAGAATTTGTCAGAAATGGCTTCAGAATTGTCTTAAAGATCTACAGCATCCTGTCAGAACACCAAAGGCAGGCAGTGCAGGTGCCTGAATACTAACATTTCTCCCTTTTGTTTATCATAAAAAGGTGAGGAGGGATGAGGACACTGTATTCTCCTGACTGCTTCCTGCTGACCTGGGGGGAGGGGGACGTCGATCATCTTTGGGGGACCTGAGAAAGGTGGAGTACTGGCCACATACTGGAGTATCTGGCTGTCCAGGCTTTGTGGAACCATCCAGTGCCACTTGGACCTGGCAAAATGCTGTTTGTCGTGGATCCAAGTCAACTCCATGGAGCACACAAGAACTTTGAGTTTACAAAATAGATAAGTTTTAGACACATTAGAAAGCAACCAAAGACAATTTTAAATCCTTATCTTGTGGCTGTGATACTGTAATGGTAGAATACAGTGTTTAGTGCTCTACCAGAGCTAGAGTAATACCTATCAAACTAGGAAAGTATTGCCAATACACTGTGTGAATTACATATGTATAATGTAAGCCTAGAGCAACAACCTCTGCTAAGATCTGTAGTTGAATGGAATGGGTTATGTTCCTTAGTCCCAGCTACTCAGGAAGCTAAAGCATGAGAATTACTGAAGCCCAGTGTAGTAGGAGTTGCGGGCTGCATTCCCAGCACCCAGCCGCCCGCATGGTTAGCTTTACCCAAAATAATTACATGGAAACTGTATTCTTTTAAACACTGGCTGGCCCATTAGTTCCAGCCTCTTATTGGCTAGCTCTTACATATTGATCTAACCCATTTTTAATAATCTGTGTAGCCCACTAGGTGGCTTACCAGGGAAGATCTTAGCCGGGACGCCTGGCAACTAGGCCGGGAGCGCGCTGTGTAGTTAGGACCCAGGCAGAGAGCTGCGAGATAGGGGAGTGCAGCTCTCTCTAACAAAAATTCAAGCCTGCGCCCCGGGCCGCGCAGGGGCGGAGGCAAAGAGCCCCACGTTGGGTGCCACTCTGTAGTAGGAGTTCGGGCTGCGTTCCCAGCGCCCAGCCGCCTGCATGGTTAGCTTTACTCAAAATAATTACACGAAAACTGTATTCTTTTAAACACTGCCTGGCCCATTAGTTCCAGCCTCTTATTGGCTAGCTCTTACATATTGATCTAACCTATTTTTAATATTTTGTGTAGCTCCACGAGCTGGCTTACCAGGAAAGATCTTAACCTGCGTCTGTCTGGAGTGGGAGAATCATGGCGACTGTCTGACTCGGCTTTTTTCTCCCAGCATTTTGTTCTGTCTATTCCACCTACCTAATTTTCTGTCCTATTAAAGGGCCAAGGCAGTCTCTCTATTTAACCAATAAAATTAACACAAAACAGAAGACTCTCCCCATCAGCCCGGGATTTCAGTTTCAAACTAGGCAACATAATGAGACTCCATCTCAAAAAAAGAAAAAAAATCTGTAGTGATGTACTCAAATCTCAAATTTTATAAAATCAAAGCCAGGCGGTGGTAGTGCACACCTTTAATCCCAGCACTCAAGAGGCAGTGGTGGGTGAATCTCTGTGAGTTTGAGGCCAGCCTGGACTACAAGAACTAGTTCCTGGACAGGCTCCAAAGCAACACAGAGAAACCCTTTCTCGAAAAAACAAAAACAAAACAAAAAAACAAAAATAATAATAGTAAACACAACCTTTGATTATTTTTAAAGATCAAGAATGGGCTGTAGAAGTGACTCATTGATTAAGAGCCTTGGCTGCTCTTCAAAAGGACCCAGATTTGGGGGCTGGAGAAATGGCTCAGAGGTTAAGAGCATTGCCTGCTCTTCCAAAGGTCCTGAGTTCAATTCCCAGCAACCACATGGTGGCTCACAACCATCTGTAATGGGGTCTGGTGCCCTCTTCTGGCCTGCAGGCATACACACAGACAGAATATTGTATACATAACAAATAAATAAATATTTAAAAAAAAAGGACCCAGATTTAATTCCTAGTATTTTTATTTATAGAAAATAAAATAAAAAGAACAAAAAGTTAGCAAATATGCCAATTTAAAAAAGGCTATCAACTAGATTTAAGAAATGATACAGCTAGGCGTGGTAGCACACACCTTTAATCCCAGCATTTGGGAGGCAGAGGCAGGTGGATCTGAGTTCCAGGACTGTTGTAGGAGGTTGCTTGTTCGTTTCCCAGCTACCCAGACTCCCAAAATAATCACACAGAAACTATATTATTTGCAATACTGTTTGACCAATAGCTTAAGCATATCACTAGCTAGCTCTTACATTTAGAATTAACCCATCTCCATTATTTTATATTTTACTATGATGTTTGTGGCCTACCGGCAAGGTTCCCACTGGCAACTCACTACTTTCCCCTCTGGTGGCCTTCTTCCTAGCATCAGTTTAGTTTTCTCCACCTACCTCTATTCTGCCCTGCATAGGCCTAAGACAGTTTCTTTATTAACCAATGGTTTTCACAGCATACAGAGGGGAGGCCCACATCACAGGACAGCCAGGGCTACACAAAGAAACGCTGTGTCACAAATCTAATTGGTCTTAATAATAAGAACCCAGTGTCAGATTAGGGGGTGAAAGCTGGAAGATCAGAGAAGCAGTGCAGCCAGCCACTAATTCTTACCTCTATGGAATCCTCAGACCAAATGGGGTATCCTGTCTCTACAAGTCCTCAGACTGAATCCTGAGCTCCTGTCTCCTCACACCTTACATTCCTCTCTCTGCCCAGCCATATCATTTCCCATCTTAACCTCCCTAGTGCTGAGATTAAAGATGTGAGCCACCACCACTTGGCTCTGTTTCTCTTTTACACTGATTCAATCTGGTGTAGCCAGGGTGGCCTTGAATTCACAGAGATCCATCTGCCTCTGTCTCCCGAGTGCTGGAGTTAGAGGTGTGTGCCACCACTGCCTGGCCTCTATGGTTAACCACACTCTGATCTTCAGGCAAGCTTTATTTGTTAAGGCACAAACAAAATAGCACATTTCTTCCTTTTTGTCTAAAATTAATAAAGATAACTAATGTAAGAAAATAAGTATATCAACAATGTCTAGTCCATTTGCATTTGACAAACTCAGAGAAAATACTCCATTATCTGTCCTGACTTGGTGTGTCCAAAGTCTTGTATCTAATTCACTTACTCACTTTTTTACTATTTTTTTTTTCAAGGTAGGGTTTTTCTGTGTAGCTCTGTCTGTCCTAGAATTCACTCTGTAGACCAGGCTGGCCTCAGATTTACAGAGCTCCGCCTGCCTCTGCCTCCCAAGTGCTGGGATTAAAGGCGTGCGCCACCACTGCCACCTAATTCACTTTCTGTCCTAACTTGCATTACCAAAACTATCTTTTACCTTGTATACTTTAAGCCTCTTTTATGAATTTCTCTTCTGAATCTGGTAACAAGGAAAAAATATAACTATAAAGTCTTTACTCCCTCAGAGACCTGAGAAGGAAAATAATATTACCTGAGTAAGCAGGAAGTGTGTAGAATTAGGAGCGGCGGGGCTGCGTCCCCAGTACCCCGGCCTCCCGCACGGCTAGCTTTACCCGAAATAACAACACACAAACTATATTCATTTAAACACTGCTTGGCCCATTAGCTCTAGCCCTTACCGGCTAATTCTGATATCCCGATCAACCCATCTCTAATAATCTGTGGGCACCGGTCTTACCGGGAAGATTCTAGCCTACGTCCATCTTGGGTCGGAGCTTCATCGCATGTGTCTGCCCGGGAGCGGGGCATGGCGTCTCTCTGAGGAGTCTGCCCCCGAGAGGAGAGCTGTCAAGTCTCTGAGCTCACTTCCTCCTTCCAGCATTCTGTTCTGTTTACTCCACCCACCTATGTTCTAAGCTATGAGCCCAAGCAGTTTGTTTATTACTTAGCCAATGAAATCAACAGATTGATATATGACACTCCCACATCAGAAGTGCAAGTAAGAAACTTCCAAAAAATGTGAGAAATGACAGAAACAGCTGGCTGCCTAGACAATCACCCAGAGTTCCTCTGTAATGTTGGGGCATTCTTCTTCGATCCTCAGGCCTAGCATATCTTTTCTATGAAGCAGACTTTTCTGAAGGACTGACTCACCTTGTCTTGGCAGGCTTTGACAGTTACTCTCTTTTGTGCTCTGCTTGTCCAATTTGGACAGCATACTGTCAGCAGTCAAGGCAAGAGCACTTTCTTGCCCAGTGGCTTAGTTTTGCCACAAAGAAAGTAAACACCATGTGGAGTTTCTTCAGTGCCCATTATCTTCTTCAAGTAGATTAGTGCTGCCAGGAGCAGATATGTCTCATTGTCATAAAAAAGAACCTATGATATTAAAACATCTTAAATGTCATGTTCTGCAAATATCTGAAGTTTTTGAAGACTACCTACTTAAAATATGTTTAATCTTGAAAACATACGTAACATGACTACAAGTTTGAATATAACAGGTGATTAACTACTGACCTGCATTTCCTTATTATCCTAAACAGTTGGTAATAATTACTTTCAAGGGCTGAAAATTTTCTTAGGGGTTTTTATGTTGTTCATAACCACAAGAACAGGCCTTGCACAGCCTAAAATGAGAGCTCTGGGAAGTATAAAAGCATACAGAGGATCGAGGATCGGATTGGGCTGGGATGTAGCCCAGTTGGTGGAATAATGAAAGCCTTGGGTTCAGTCCCTAGCACTGCATAAAACCAGGCATGGTGCATCTGGGGAGAGGGCTCAGTGGTTAAGCACCCACGTTCAATTCCCAGTACCCACATGACAGCTCACAACTGTCTGTAACTCCAAGAGTTTTGACACCTTCACATAAATAGACATGCAGGCAAAACACCAATGCACATAAAATAAGAAATAATTATTTTTTAAAAATCAAACCAACAAACAAAATAATAGGCAATTGTAGCGTGTTCTCGTGGTTACATGGAGTTCAAGAGCAGCCTGGCTTACAAATAAACAAATTAATTAATGGTACTGAAACCTCAAGACAAATCACTGAAGAAAATCTGTATTCTTATTACCTAGAAATATTGTTTACTTTTATATTTGTAATTATTTGGTCACATTATATATTTTAACATGTTTTTAACAACATCCAAACATATAGAAGGGAACTTCATAGTTATCATTTTTCTCAGCCTTTTTTATTTATTTTATTTTATTTTTTTTGAGATAGGATTTCATCATGCGGTCTTGGCTGATCTCAAACTCATAGAGGTCTGTCTGCTTCTGACTTTCAAGTGCTGGGATTAAAGGCGTGTACCACCATACCTGGCAGCAGTTTCTCAGTCTTAATTACCCTCTTTCTACAATATTCTTGGCCTAGATTAGACCAGAAAATATATAGAAATTGAATTCTAGTGTAATGGCATAATAATCCAAAGTGTGAAAGTAACCTTTTACATGAGAAATTCCTTACCTTAGAATTCAGAAATGAGTGGCAGATGATACAACCCATGAAAGCGGTAAGACTGTATACTCCTGTCAAGCAAGCAGATAGTGAAGAAAATGGAGACCAACTTTTAACTAAATGCCAGCAGGAGAGCTGTAAAATAGTATACTGTAGTTTAGAGCAGTGAAGGATGAGGAGCCCACCATCACCCCCTACTGGGAGTGCAAGTGACTTCTCTGGTTAGGTAAATGAGTCTCAGCTCACAGAGGTCTAAGGGAGTGCCACTACCATCTAGCTTCATCATTTTTTCACTTACCCAGTTTCCATCTTGAATACTTTTCATTAATTTAACTCTTATCCCTCCCTCATGTCCCCAGCAAGTTTATTTTTTTCCTGCAATATTATCTTCTATTGCTTTTTCCTGCTGTAATTGCTCTTTTCCCACCTAGAAACTCTTGGAAATTCCTGCTTGGAAAGACTTAAAATTTAGTCAGGCAGTAGTGGCACATACCTTTATTCCCAGCACTTAGGAGGCGAGGCAGACAGATCTCTGAGTTTGAGGACAGCCTGGTCTACAGAGTGAGTTCCCGAATAGTCAGGGATACACAGAGAAACACTGTCTGGGGGGGGGGGAAGGCTTAAAATATTTTTTGGACAGCACTAGAGATTGATCAGAGAACATCCTGAATTCTAGACAAGTGTGCTATCACTGAGCCACATTTCAAAACCATTTTCTTGTGAGACAGAACTAAGTTAATCAAATGGACCTAGTACTTTTGAATCTTCTGTCTTGCCTTTCTGAGTGGCTGAGATCATAGACTTGTACTGCCATGCCCAGGAATCGATCCTGGAAATGACTGTAGCGTTTGCCTTCTGTACTTTGACTTAGTACATTTCAGTTCATATATCAATTGCAAAAATTCTTATATGTTTTATGCTTTGTTTTTGTTTGAAATAGGGTCTCACTATCATCCAGGCTGGCCCATGTAGTCCAGAGTGGTCTTGAGTTTATGGTTTTCCTGCCTCAACCTCCTAAGTATTGATTATAGCATGGCCCTGTATATTTTGTGTTGTTTCCTCATTACAGTTGCAAACCCCTGGAGGGCAAGAACAGCCTGATTGTTTGCCCTTACTTCCTGCCTTTTCTGAAGGTGTCTGAACACTGAGTATTTAGTGGGAGTTTTGTTCATGTTCTATTTCGGGCCCATAGATGGCACTCATTGAACACGGCAAGCTACCGTGTAGGAGGTTTCTGCTCTAGCACGGATTAGAGTTTCTCTCTTCCAGCATCATTAAACTCTGTTGGTACACTGACTTCATAGGGCTTTGGTGGCCGCAGTGGTTCAGTTATCTAAACCATAGATATTCTCTTACATGGGCATGTACTAGAATTTTCATATTTTTTTTTTCTTGTAGGACCGGGTGACTTTTAGAAGAATCATAGTGAAAAACAATGCAAAAAAGAGGAAGATGTTTGAATCATTTATTGAGTCTGTGCCACTCTTTAAATCACTAGAGGTAAAGTTTGAATAAGAGTCTGTTTAGATGGTTTAGGAAGAGCTGTTCAAACTGTTCCTAGGTTTTCAAATATACTGTTTTAACCTAATTCTGTAGCAATGACATTCAATCGGGGTTTTCCCCTAAACTATATGTTTTGTAGATGTCAGAACGAATGAAGATTGTGGATGTGATCGGAGAAAAGTTCTATAAGGATGGAGAGCGAATAATCACTCAGGTGAGTTGGGGTCTGGACTCCCAAAAGGAACAATGTATCACAGAGTATAGTAGTGCACACCTGCAATGCCAGCACTTAAGAGACAAGGCGGGAGGTTCACAAGTTCAGGCCAGCCTGGGCCACGTTGTATTATTCTGACTCCAATAGGGGTGATGGTCTACCCTTAATTCCAGCATTCAGGAAAGACAGACAGGCAGGGCTCTGTGAGTTTGAGGCCAGTCTGGTCTATATAGAAAGTTCCAAAGTTCCAGGTTAAAAAGGGAAAGAAAAAAAAAGGAAGAAAACAAACCAAAATTTAATGTCCTCCACTGTTGGAAGCTGTGTCGTCCCTCATACAAAGACCTCTAAAGTTCCTTTGTGTCTGTCTCCTGCTGTCTCTTTTCCCTTGAAGGACTAAATTTACTGCTAAGCAAATCTTCTGCCACTGCACCCTCAGCCCTTTTTATGTTTGTGTTTCAAGACAGTATTATCACGTTGTCCTAACCTCGGAAGCCTCCTGAGTCACTGATTGCAGCCACATGCCACCGGGCTCAGACCTCCATTCATTTTGGGGTTGTCTTCTATTGGATGTTATTTGCTATTGACCCTAAGTAAGCTTTATTATCTCTATTAGAATCCAGAGAAAACTGGAGGCTTATGCTCTCTGTTGTCTCTGCTGGCACAAAAGCAACCTGTTGATGGTATGACACCAGAATCCTTAGCATTCAGTGATAATCAGATCTATGAGATGTCTTGATATCCTTTGTATCTTTTTCATAAGTTGTTTTTGGATAATGCAAGATAATATACAGTGAACTGAACCATTATAATTAAAGACTGCAAAGTAGGGGTAGTGGTGTATGCCTAGAATCTGAACACTTGGGAAGTGGAGACAGGTGGGTTAGGAGTTCAGGGCCACTCAAGCTATATAGCAATCTCTTTTTTTGTTTTTGTTTTTTGAGATAGGGTTTCCCTGTATAACATCCCTGGCTGTCCTTGAACTCCCAGACACCTGCCTACCTCTGCCTCCCAAGTGCTGGGATTAAAGGTGAATACCACCACTTTACCAAAATCTCTTTATATTATGTGATAATTTTCTCTATCTCCCGTGTTTGTATTTTAATTACATATAAATAGTTTAGGGCCTTTTCCAGATACAAACTTCCCTGCCAGTGCCTCTGACAAGAACACTGGGAAGGCATCTGGTTGAGTTGAGTTGGGCACTTTGTTTGCCCATGAACACAGCTGGGTTGAGGAGGATGGTTTCAGATCACTGTAACTCCAGGTTTATAGAACTGGCCCCACCAGAACTTTGAGAAGTGGTTAGACTGAAGATGAAAGAGGAGGAGAAAGCCCCACTAGACGAGACAGAGCACTGACAAAAGTCTGATGTTCGTTTTAGATTACATCTCCGAATGGCTTTGCTTTCCAGGTTCCCTAATATAATTTAAGGTTAGGATAAATGAGACCGAAATAATAAGCACTCTGATAATACATATGAGAAAAGGGAGAGTATAGAAAAGGAAGGAATTAAACCATGTCATTTCATAAAGAAGTTTCATTTGAGCCAGGCCTGAAGAATAAGTGCAACTTCGTTTTTTTTCTTTTGTTTGTTCGGGTTTTTGTTTTGTTTTGTTTTTTTTCAAGACAGGGTTTCTCTGTGGCTTTGGAGCCTGTCTTGTAGACCAGGCTGGCCTCAAACTCACAGAGATTACCTGCCTCTGCCTCCCGAGTGCTGGGATTAAAGGCGTGCGCCGCCACCACCTGGCCTGCAACTTTGTTTTTACAAGTTTATTTAAAACTCAATTTTTGCTTTGAATATACAAAATGCAAACTACATGAAATGTTCGTTTATTTTGTTTGTAAAGTAAAACTTTGCTTACATTTATATTACATAGTTATTAAGGCAAGGAACTATATATATTAAAAAAGCATTTGTTGTGCTTGAAGCATAGCATAAACTTTTCTCCACATTATTGCACATCTGCACCACAGTATAGACATGCTGTCTGCATAAAAATACTCGCCAGAGCCAGGCGGCAGTGCACACCTTTAATCCCAGAGCCAGAGGCAGGTGGCTGTCTGAATTCGAGGCCAGCCTGGTCTACAAAGTGAGTTCCAGGACAGCCAGGGCTGCACAGAGGAAACCCTGCCTCAAAAAGAAAAAAAAAAAAAAAAAAAAAAATGCTTGCCAGTGAGAGTGGGTATGGTGGCCCATCCCTAAGAGCTTATCTCTCTCATCTCACATTATTGGTCATATTGTATCTGAAATTACAGTAGAATTGACAAAATTCTGTCAGTTCTCTTGCTTATCTCTGATCAAATTGCTGACAGAAACAACTTTCTTAAGAGAGGGAAGGAAAGTTGATTCTGGCTCACAGTTTCAGGGGATCTCAGTTCATCACAGCGGAAGGAACTAGTCGGTGTGTGGTAGCTGGCCCCTCACAGTAATGACAGTAATCAAGGAACAAATGGGGAGAAGGGCTAGGCTGTAACTCTCACAGGCCCACTCCTATGTGGGTAGGCCCCACATTCCAAAGGATGGGTAACTTCCCAAGAAAGTGTCACCAGTTGGGAGCCAAGTGTTCAAACATGTGAGCCTTTGGGAGACATTTACATCCAAACCATAATTTTTGACAAGGGCCTTGCTCTGTAACCTAAGTTGTCCTCAAACTCAGAACAATTTTTCTGCCTCAGCTGTCTGAGTGCTGTGATTATAGGCATGAGCCATCAAACCTGGCCTGGGACTAGATTAACTCAGACAAGTCATCCTCAACTGTGTGGTCCCAGTTGAGGTTTGAAGTCTTGTCTAATACACACCAAGATGAGTGTGTGGTAGTGCACGGGGGAGAAAGAGGAAGGAGAGTTGAAAGTTTGAGACTAGCTAATGATCTGTATAACCAGACTGGTCTCCAAACAACCAACCTATGTAGCACATGATTGCTACTGGGTGATCTGTGATTTGTTCCAGACCTTAATTGTGAGGGAGGAGAAAGTGAAAGAAGCCTGAAGCTCTTCTCCCTTATCTGTTTGCCCTAGTCTTGCTTCTTCTAGCTTTCGCTCAGATTCCACCATTCATGCTGAAGCTGTGTTATATGCAGTAGCCGGTCCCTCTACCAGCATTTGAGAGCCTGTGGTCCTGCTCTGTTCTTTTCCTGTAGCACTGCCATCCTCTAACACAGCTGTATAATTTACTGGTTATCATATTTCTTGGTTTGTTTGTTTTAGCCATGCCCCTGGGACAATGTCTGCACACAGTGAGAACATAGTACATTATTTGTTGAATTACCTGGCTTATTTAGCCAGGTAGTTTAATAGTAAGCCAAGCAAAGGGAAAGCCTAAAGCTTACAAAGATGGTGTCAAAGCACCTACTGAATCAAGGCAGAGCTGTCCACATAGATCCATGCTATTCTCTCTGTGTTTATGGGGGAAGGGGGTGGACAACCTCAAGTCTCATTCCTAATACTCAATCTACTTTAAAGAAAAAAATAACAACAACAAATAGTACCAAGGTCTCCCTGAATGTGGTGACACATGTCTTTAATTCCAACACTCAGAAGGCAGAGGCAGGCAGATCTCTGAATTCGAGGCCAGCTTGGACTCTACAAAGCAAGTTTCAGGACATCCAGGGCTGCACAGGGAAACCTGTCTCAAAAACAAAACAAAACAAAACAAGGCCTCTGACTGGCCTGTAACTTGCTGAATAGGTTGGCTGGCTGGCTGGCAGCAAGCCCCAGGGATCTGCCTGTGTCTGCCTCACCAGCACTGGCTTTCGTGTGTGCATCACCACTTCTGGCTCCTCCTACCTCCGACATAGGTTCTAAGGATTGAACTCAGGTCCTTGTACCTGACTTGTAATGCTCAATGCTTGAGCTTCCTCCTCAGTCTCTTCTTGAGGATTGTGTTTATTGATCAAGATTATTCCTAGACCTCTGTCTTAGTCTATGCTCTATTGTTGTGAAGAGACAGCATGACCATGGCAACTCTTTTTTTTTTTTTTAAAGATTTATTTATTATGTACACAGTGTTCAGCCTCCATGTATGCCTGCAGGCCAGGAGAGGGCGCCAGATCTCATTACAGATGGCTGTGAGCCACCATGTGGGTTGCTGGGAATTGAACTCAGGACCTCTGGAAGAGCAGTCAATGCTCTTAACCTCTGAGCCATCTCTCCAGCCCCATGGCAACTCTTATAAAGGAAAATATTTAATTGGGGTGGCTCGCTTATGATTCAGAGGTTCAATCAATTATCTTCAAGGCAGAGAGCGTGGTGATAAACAGGCAGACATGGTGCTGGTGAAGTAGCTGAGAGTCCTACATCTTATAGGCAACAAGAAGTGGTCTATAACACTGAGCAAAGCTTAAGCAAAAGAGACCTCAGTAGTCCCAATAGTGTCACTCCCTATGAGCTTATGAGGGCCAGTTACATTCAGACTACCACAACCTCACACTCCAGGAGTTACTTGACACATTTGCAGTATTGTTTACTGGTCCCTGAAAAGGGTTTCAGCACAGCAACATCGCCAGTCAGAACAACAATGATGTGTAGTTGGTAACCTGGTCACATTCCTGGAGGTAAATATAAAGACTAAGAGGTGGGACATGTGTCAGTCATAATTGGGTTAATGTCTTAGTCATCAGGATCCTCTAATTTACTATGAATTTATTAGATTATTTTATTAGATTAGATTAGGTGCCCTCTTCTGGTGTTCAGGCATGCATGTAGGCAAAACACTATATAATAAATCTTAAAATTAGAGCTGTCAGGCTGTTGAGTTGACTTAGTATTCTGAGTTTGATCCATCAATCTGCTTGTTGAGTTGGAGATAAAAACCTGAGGTGCTCACAGTCATCACTGCTGTTTGTGACTCTGACATAAGTTCTTCTTTTTCAGGGTGACAAGGCTGACAGCTTTTATATTATAGAGTCCGGGGAAGTGAGCATCTTGATTAAAAGCAAGGTGAGTACGGGTGGTGCTGTGCCAGGTGTCCCCACAGTAAGTGTTCACTTTATACAATATGGCCAGTGCTTTAGAGTCTAAAGCCATCATTGTGCTACCCGGGGTGACTGCCAGGAATAAATAAGAAAAATATAAAAACCCTAATGAGTATAGGAACGTTATATAATAGGTATATAGGAGGTGGGATATGAAGAAAGCATCCTTGTTTTTAGGATGTTGCTAGAGGAAGTCTTCATCATATTCCTATTATGGTATTTGAGGGTAGAAAGATGTTGATAATTGATGACCTATATGTGGGAAAATCTCCTCCTCCTCCTCCTTTTTTTTTTTTTTGAGATAATTTTATGTAGTCCAGGCTGGCTGACTTCAAATTTGACTATGTATATAACTGAGGGTGACTTTGAACTTGTGAAAACTTGACTCTACCTTTGTTAAGATTATAGACATAAATAGACATAAGCCTATGATTGTAGGCATGTGCCACCATGCCCAATTATATCTGATGTTGTGGATAAAACCAAGGACTCCATGAATTGTAGGCAAGCATTCTAGAGCTGAGCTACATCCCCAGCCTGGGAGGAAAAATTCTTAACATTCAATCTATCATACTCAAACATTAATTTTTTTAAGAATATAAATTTGTTGAAATAGTAAGTTACATGTATATTTAGTGTGTATATATGTATATAGTATATATATTTAGTACTTATATATGTATACACTAAATCTAGTATGAAATCTATTAAAAATATATTTAGTAAAGGTTTAAACTATTGTCAGGGAAGATATGGAGGTAGGAAGATGATGAATTCGAGAATAGTCTAGACTGTAAGTAAAATCCTACCTCAAGACAGCAGAAAGAACTGAAGGCAGTGCTCTTATTACTGCCCAGCTTGAAATTGTGCAATATACAAAATTTCCAATTAAAAACATGAAAAACAAACCACTTACATTTATTACTGTCTAAATGGTAGATTGATTCTTAATTTAAAATAGAGGTGTCAGAAGCTGGAGAGATGGCTCAGAGGTTAAGAACACTGACTGCTCTTCCAGAGGTCATGAGTTCAGTTCGCAGCAACCACATGGTGGCTCACAACCATCTATAATGAGATCTGGTGCCCTCTTCTGGTGTTCAGGCATGCATGTAGGCAAAACACTATATAATAAATCTTAAAATTAGAGCTGTCAGGCTGTTGAGTTGACTTAGTATTCTGAGTTTGATCCACTTTTTTGTTGGAAAGAAAGTACCAACTCTGATCCCCACTTGTGCACTGTGGAACCTGTACACATGCAATAATAATACTGCAACACAGTAAGGTTTTTAAATAGAGCTATTGTTTCACATAGAACAGTAGTTTGAAGTGTTTGTGTTCTTTCAGTTGCAGCTTTTAAACTGCTAATTCATATTTGTACATTTCTCAAATGTTCACTGGCACTATCTGTCATCATAGTATAGTGTTTGATGAGTAGTACCGGGGGAGTCAGAGAGTTTATCAGAAATGCAAAGTCTTGGGCTCTGCCATAGACCTGCGTTGTAAGGGAGCTTTTGTGTGTGATGGTGCAGTAAGTGCTGTCCAGGAGAATGGATTGAGGAGGCACAAATATTTCTACAGTGCCAAAGGATGCTTCAAAAGTTAGAAACAGAAGCTGGGTGTGGAGCATTCCTTTAATCCCAGTGCTTATGAGGTGGGAGCAGGACAATCAGAGGTTCAAAGTCTTCCTCAACTACATAAAGAGTTTGAAGCCAGCTTTGGCTACATGACAGACACTCTGTCTCAAAAAGAAGAAAAGCTGGGTGGTGGTGGTGCACACCTTTAATCCCAGCACTCAGGAGGCAGGGGCAAGTGGATCTCTGTGAGTTTGAGGTCAGCCTGGTCTACAAGAGCTAGTTCCAGGATTGCCAGGGCTGTTACACAGAGAAACCCTGTCTTGAAAGAAAAAAAAAAAAAGTAAAAGATTGCATTGGTTCACGTGGAGCAGCAGAGCAGCTTCAAATAGAGCTGATAGGTCAAGGCAGGTGTGGAGGGTGAGGAGGCTAAACTTAGAGTGCCAGTTTTTAACTTCCATTTGCAGATAATAAAGAAGATAGGCCTAGGGAGATGGGCTTTGCAGTTAAGCTTGCTACTTTTGCACAGGATCTGAGTTTGATTCCCAACACCACATAGGATGGCTCACAACAACTCCAGGGAATCTGACCACTTTCTGAACTCTCTTGGCACCTACATTCATTTGCACAAGCCCACGTACACATAATTTAAGATACAGTCTTTTGAAAAGCAATAATACTGGGCTAGAGAAATGGCTCAGTGGTTAAGAGCATTGTCTGCTCTTCTAAAGGTCCTGAGTTCAATCCCAGCAACCACATGGTGGCTCACAACCATCTGTAATGAGGTCTGGTGCCCTCTTCTGGCCTGCAGGTATACACACAGACAGAATATTGTATACAAAATAAATATTTTTTTTAAAAAAAGAAAAACAATAATACTACCAACAAAGAAGGCCCAGCAAGACAATTTATTGGATAAAGGTGATTGTTCTAAAGTCTGATAACCTGAATTTGATTCCCAGAATTCACATGGTGTAAAGAGAGAAGTGATCCTTACAAAGTATCCTCAGACTGCCACACCAGGGCCGTGGCATGTGCATGCCCACACACGTTCAAACAAACAGAAACAAATGATAGCAGAACATGTTTCAAGAATGAATTGGGGCCAGAGAAATAGCTCAAGAATTAAGAGTACTTGCTCTACAATCATAGGGACCAGATTGAATCCCAGCACCCACATAAGCCAAACATCCTCTGAAGTGCTTGTAGCCCCAGCTCCAAGGTAGGTGGAGATAGGAGGATCTCTTGAGGCTTGTTGGCCTCCAACCTTGGGAATAATTAAGCCCTGGATGCTGGGGAAAGCCGTGCTTCAGCAGAGGAATAGGTAATAATGACAGAAGACGACAGCAGGTACTCTCTTCCTGCTTTCATGGGCTGCATACCGAGGAACACACATACCTTCACATACTCAGAAATAGAGGTGAAATACTAGAAAATTCCCTTGAGGGCTGGAGGGATAGATCAGCAGTTAGAAGCACTGGCTGCTGTTCAGAGGACATAGTTTCATTCCCAGCACCCATGCAGCTACTCACAACTGCCTGTAACTCCAGTTCTATGGGATCTGACACTCTCCCAGCCCCCAAGGGTAGCAGGTAGCCAAGTAGTACACAGACACGCATGCAGGAAAAACATAAAGTAACATTTTAAAAAAATTCTACCAGGCAGTGGTGGCGTGCACCTTCAATCCCAACACTCTGGAGGCAGAGGCAGGTGGATCTCTGTGAGTCCAAGGCCAACCCGGTCTACAGAGCTAGTTCCAGGACAACCAGGGCTACCCAGAGAAACCTGTTTTTTAAGGAACTGGTTTTTGCTGAGGAAATTCCCAGGTTTAGTTCTCAGCATGCATACAGGTGGATGTCACCTGAAACAACAGTTCCAGGGGATCTGACACTCCCATCTGGACTCCATAGGCACCTGCACAAGCACACATAGAGGCCAGCAGGTTCACACAGAAAATCAGGAAGTAAACACACAACACGACACACACCAGTTAAGGGGCCAGCGAGGTGGCACAGCAGTTAAAGAGCATATACTGCTTTTCCCGAGAACCCAAGTTTAGCTCCCAGAACCCACGTTGGGATGGCTCATAACTTCTGTAACTCCAGCTCCAAGATATCTGGCACCCTCTCTGGACCTCATGGACACCTGAACCTACATGGCATATAGACACACATGCATATCACACACACACATGAAAATAAAATGCTTTCAAAAACTGGGGGGAAAATCTTTGTTTGTTTGGTTTTTCAGGATAGGGTTTCTCTGTGTAACAGTCTTGGCTGTCCTGAAACTCTGGGCGCCAATTGCTATAAGGAGAGGGCCCCTTGTTTGTCTCCCCCCACCCCACCCCCGTGCTTGTTTCACCCGAAATAACCACACAGAAACTGTATTAATTAACACACTGCTTGGCCATTAGCTCTAACTTCTTATTGGCTAACTCTTACATATTAGTTTAACCCAGCTCCATTAATCTGTGTATCACCACGTGGCAGTGGCTTACTGGAGATTCTAACCAGTGTCCATCTCAGGCAGAGGATCCATGGCTTCTCTGACTCTGCCCTTCTTCCTCCCAGCATTCAGTTGTTTTCTCTGCCTACCTAAGTTTTGCCCTATCAACTAGGCCAAGGCAGTTTCTTTATTCATTAACCAATGAAAGCAACACACAAACAGAAGGAACTCCTAAACCATTACCCCTTTTCTGTTTAAACAAAAAGGAAGGCTTTAACTTTTAACACAGTAAAATTGCTCTGTAGACCAGGCTGGCCTTGAACTCATTGAGATTCACGTGTCTCTGTCTCCTGAGTGCTGGGGGGAACATATCTTTAAAAAAATAACAAAGGGAGCTGGAGAGGTGGCTCTGCTGCTCTTCTAGAGGTCATGAGTTCAGTTCCCAGCACCCACATGGTGGCTCACAACCATCTGTAAATAAGATCTGTTGCCCTCTTCTGGCCTGCAGGTGTGCATGCAGAGCCCTTATATATAAAATAAGAATAAATAAAAATTTTAAAAACTAAGAAAAAAAAGGATTAGTCAGTCATGGTAGCAGACACCTGTAATCCTAGCACTCAGGAGGCAGAGGCAGGCTCAGACTGGTCTACAGAATAGTTCTGGGCTAGCCAGAAGCTATGAAGTAAGACTATCACAAAAGCAAAAGTGGGGGCACTATCTTTCTCCCTAAAAGATTAGTGGTTCTTAGAGAATGAGACTGATTCTCATAATTTGTTGTTACTGACTGACTTAGTGGATGGATTGTAAGAAATAAAAAACCCAGGGTAGTAAGTAAATGAAATATAGCACATATGTTTAAAGAACATAGTTCTTAAGAATGGAGGTGCAAATAGTGCTTTAAAAGAAACGGGGCTGGAGAGATGGCTCAGTGGTTAAGAGTACTGACTGCTCTTCCAAAAGTCCCGAGTTCAATTCCCAGCAACCACATGGTGGCTCACAACCATCCATAATGAAATCTGGTACCCTCTTCTGGCCTGTATACATGCAGGCAGAACACTGTATGTATAATAAATAAATCTAAAAGAAAGAAAGAAAAGGAAATATTTAAAAAAAAAAACCACCACGTGCTTGCTTCGGCAGCACATACACTAAAATTGGAACATACAGAGAGTATGAGGATGGCATGCAAATTCGTGAAGTGTTCCATATTTTTTATAGATAAGGTAGGGAGGAGGGCCTTGGTCCTTCCTCAAAGCAATGTGCTTTACCCTCTTTGAGAAGTGGATGGGGATGTGGGGGAGGGTGAAGGGAATGGGAGGACAGGAAGGAATGGGAACTAGGATTGGTATGTTAAATGAAAAAGGACAGTATTTTTAAAGATAAAATTTAAAAAATTAATATGTAAAGGTACAATACCAAAAAAAAAGAAAAGAAATATGACTGTAATGAACAATACAAGACAGAATCTAATCAACTCACAGTCTTGTGCTCTGGCTCGTCACTAATAGAAGAGTTCATTCCTAGGAAGAATCACCTGGGCTTCGGTCACATCTCCCAGAACAATTTGTCATCTCCACAGACAATGCTAGGCTTGAGCGGCTCCTGTTAACCATTGTCGGAAGTGTGTTAGGGGAGCGGCTCCTGTTCACCATTGTCGGAAGTGTGTTAGGGCTTAGGTGGCTTAGGTGGCGTGCGAGGAAGACAAGCCTCCAGTTGTGCCAGACCGCGGAGACTTGTCTGCTGAGTTGACAGGATGCAGTTCAGAGTTTCTACAGAGGGAATTTCTCAGTGATTTTGTTGAACTTTGAGAAAGGAATTTGAGTGTGTGCAGCTGGGCACAGCTGTGATCCTAGAATCAGCCTGGATCCTATTCTTTACCTGTTGTAGACTAAATCGAACAAGAACGGTGGGAACCAGGAAGTTGAGATTGCCCACTGCCATAAGGGGCAGTACTTTGGAGAGCTCGCACTGGTCACCAATAAACCCAGAGCTGCTTCTGCCTATGCGGTTGGAGATGTCAAATGCTTAGGTAAGAAAAATTCTTTCTGAGACCTCACAAGCCCCTCCCCAACCTTAGACAGGTAATAGTTTCTTCATAGGGTAGCCACTGATAAGTTGCCTACAACGTAACGCTAATTAAACTTTTACTTCCTCCTACCCCCAACAAAAGACATGAAATTAGAAGAGCAAGAGGGAAGATGGGTGGGAATAGGAGGGAGTGGGCAGGAGTGGGGCAAGAGATGGGATGGGTGACTATGATCAAAATTATATGCATGTATGAAGTGCCATAATAGAAACCATTGCCGGGCGGTGGTGGCACACGCCTTTAATCCCAGCACTCGGGAGGCAGAGGCAGGCGGATCTCTGAGTTCGAGACCAGCCTGGTCTACAGAGCTATTTCCAGGACAGGCTCCAAAACCACAGAGAAACCCTGTCTCGGGGAAAAAAAAAATAGAAACCATTATGATCAAAATTATATGCATGTATGAAGTGCCATAATAGAAACCATTATGGCCGGGCGGTGGTGGCGCACGCCTTTAATCCCAGCACTCAGGAGGCAGAGGCAGGTGGATCTCTGTGAGTTCGTGACCAGCCTGGTCTATAGAGCTAGTTCCAGGACAGGCTCCAAAGCCACAGAGAAACCCTGTCTCAAAAAAACCAAAAATAAATAAATAAATAAAAAATAAAAACCATTATGTGTGATTCATGTGCTAATAAAAACTTTAAAATGAAAAGAAAATTCTTTGTGCATTACTAATTTTTTCTGATATACAGGATCTTTAGGTTTTTCCTTTTAGCAAGACTTGACTTACTCTGCTGACTCATTTAGATCTAGATCTGAGTAGTTGGTTTAAGTGAATTCTTAGAGCAAAGGTATTTTTGGTGGTGGTGGGGTGTTGGGCATTGAACTTTAGAACATTGTACATTCTCAGCACATGCTGTGCCATAAGTTTTACCCCAGCACCCTAGCAATCAGTTCTGAACAGTGAGCAATCCTGAGGAAGACAGGCATACAGGTCTGTGGAGGAATAGGACAGGCGGGTGCTGCTGTGTTCCTACAGAAACATTCCCCGTACCCTAACATTTACTCTTCTGTAACATGAGTAAGTAGTAATGCAAGAAAATCATTCTCTCCCACTCCTCTTTTTTTTTTTTTAAACAATGCAGTTATGGATGTTCAAGCATTTGAGAGGCTTCTGGGACCGTGCATGGACATCATGAAGAGGAACATCTCACACTATGAGGAGCAGTTGGTGAAGATGTTTGGCTCCAACTTAGATCTGATGGATCCTGGGCAGTAGATGCGGTGAATGTCAGAGCCTTCTCAGTGTGACACCAAAACCTTCCAGTCAGCCACAGAACACACAGAAAACAGACACGACAGAACCGGTCCTGCTGCTGTCACGGCTGCTGCCATTGCTGTGGTTAAAGGCATTTAGAAATCTTGAAAGTCAGCACTGAAAGATGGACAGAGGCTCCACCCACACCTCCACTTTGCTTCTGAAAGCCCATCATTAGACCACTTATGTAACGATTCCTTCAACCCAGTTTTCACATTTTTGGTTCAGAATGGCATGTCTCTCCAGCAATTTAAGTGCCTGATACAAAGTCCAAAGTGTAAACATCCTCCTTTCCTCCTTGCTGCTAATGTTTGCTTCTGAAAGTTACCCTAAGGTCTGCAGAAACCTGTTGAATAACTGTAGACACCGCCGTAGTCCTTCTCAAGAGAGGGATTGGTACAGCCTTCTATCTCCTCGTTTGTCTGAGAAAGTCCACAGTGTGTTCACAATTGCTGCTTTTGCTTTCCCAGTGGAAAATGGTGGCAATTATAATGGAGCCTTGTGCCCCAGTGGCCCTGTACTGTCTGCCAGCAGCTGCACACCATAGAGTTGTGTCCAAGACCATAGTGATGCCCAGAAAAAGGCCTGTTGAAGGCCCAGCAGGTCCATGCAGAGCAGACTGATGGCTTAGATTCACATTAGCAGGAAACGGGCTCAGCACTGTTTCCAGCCGTAAAGAGCCAGGAAAGGTTAGCTGGGTTAGGGATTTGCTGTTTGTTTTTAGTAAGTTTTGTTTTGTCTTTTTCTAACCTCTGTGCAATTTGCATTAACAAATTGTCCATTTCTGTGGGGCAAATGGGAGTTGGTTAGCTCAGCTGCTTAGAGCGTGGTGCTCCTACAAGGACAGGGTCTGGAGGTGTTATCAGGTTACCTGACCTGAGTGTTCCCTGAGCAACCCTTGCCATGTCTTGGTGGCATTGCTGCACTGACAGCAGGTTGTGCTGCGCAGAGAACCTTTTCCAGCTCCTTCCAGCATTGCTGCATAGCTTGGCTAGTGAGCATCAACTTTTAAACTCTTAAGAAGCTAACTTTTTTTTAAGGAAATTATTTCTCTATTTAGGGGATTCACCTTGGACATATTCCTATACATGTAGTTTGTCAACTAACTGACTCAGACATTTGTCCTAAATCTCTCTTTCCAAAACTTGGTATCACTGGGACAGGGGTGGGCAAGGCTCAGTGGCAGAACACTTATGTAGCATGTGCAAGGCCCTGGGTTTGCTGTCCAACACCATAACAACCACAGGAAGAAAGGGTACCATTTATAAACATTGACTTACTGTGAAGGCCTTTCTGTCTCTCTCAGCTTCTGCCGTGGTCACTGGAGCCAAGAAATGTCCAGAATAGATGAGTCACCACCATTTTGGTAATTACTCACATTTTCTGTGTCCCATGGAGTAAAGCAGGCTCTGCAGACTGCCCTAGGAGCTGCTACAGCTCTAGGAATTGTTCGGTTGTAACTGCTACTCCAAAGCAGGCAGCTAGCACTGGAAAACCTTTGTGATCCCAAATTTTCCTAAGGTCCTTTTCTACGGTATTGCTTTCTTAAATAAATCAGACCTTGTACTTTGACTGAATAATACCTGATTCTTGCCAAGGTAAGAGGTGCATTGGGCTCCAGGAGCAGCCCAAAAGCCCAGCCCTCAGACCTTAGAAGGACTCTGAAACCCCACCTCAGCCTCCATGCCAGCATGAGTTAGGGCTGGCTGTGAATCTCATGCCGAAGATATTCCTACAGGCTGCCCTCACATCCCTGTCTAATCTTCAGAGTACCCCTTGTCACCCTCCTGCTCCCTTACAGATTAGACGTCATCAGGTATAAGTTCTGCTGTAATTACTGATGGAACCCTCTCTGCAGTGTGACCCCTGTGTTGGGGGCCTGGGAGAGATTCCTCTAGTCAAGGAACTAGTGGGAGCCACGAGAGACATAGCTGCTACCACAGTGCCAGGACCGACAGTGTTCCAGTTCTCTGCCGCTCAGAGACTCAAGGTCACAGTGTTCTCATGCCAGCAACCCCTACTGCCGACAGTTGAGCCCCATAGGGCAGGGTGTCCCCTCTGTTAGTGCACACTTCTGAGGATTAGAGCTCTCCCCTCTTCCCTGGCTTTGCTGTGGACTTAGGCTGATAGAGAATAGTCCTCACAGCCTGGAGGTCCAACTGCAGGATTTTCTCCTTTCTGTGCCCAGCTCTGCCCTCTCACTCTTCTCTCAATTAAATTCTTTGCAGGACGGACTTTTGTGTTCTTGTCCTCTGACTTCATCGTTTTCATAAAGAATTCTGTGTCCCTGATACAGAGTCTCAGAAATCAGCATTGAGCAGTATAGCGAGCAAATTCAGCAGCAAAGTGGCTAAAAGAAAAGAGTTCTCCAGCTGGACAGGTCCAGATTCTCTGCTCGTGACGGTGGAGCCGTTAGGTGCTGCTGGCACCCTGGTGCCTGGGCACACAGTGTTTTATGGCATATCACAGCCTTCGTTTTTAAAAGATGAAAGCATTTTGCACAGAGAAAGAAAAGGACCCATGAATGTCATCTTTTATCTTTCTTGGTCAGTTGATACTGAAATTTTTGTTTTTGATACACATTTGTAAGCCAATCTCGCCAAGTTCTGAGTTTTGATTTTCACTACGATTACCTCTTATTCCTCCTGTCTTGACTGCTGACGTTCCTCCGTGATTCTAATGTCTATTTTATGGGAAGCAGCCTTCCCAGGGGTTTCCTATTACACACTGCAGGGCTATCTTTATACTTAAAAAAAGAATGAAAACTGTCGCTCACCTCATGGGGGATTTGCAGAAAACCATTTAGCCCACCTTGAGCAAAGGTTAGATTCCTTGGGTTTTGTTGTTTTGTTTTTAATTCATTGTAATAAAAAAATCCAACTAAGCATTATTGTGCTACCTCAGAGGTAAATACATTCTAAGGTCATCTTTTGGTCCTGAGTTCTATACATGTTGTTTAAAATGTCTTTCAATTGGAATTATTTTTTAAATTGTTGGGGTGAATCTTATTTTAACCTGTTTACACTTGTGTTTTAATCTCAAAATAATATATATGATTGGAAAGCAAACAATTTTTGATCTATGGTGTTGAATATAAAATTAAAAGTTACTGAGAATTAATCATTGTTTGCTATAAACAAGGTTGAGGGGTTTTTTGTTTTGTTTTTAAAGGAAACTCTAGGGCTCGGCTTCACTCTTGATTAATAAAGGCTGACAAATCATGTAGTCTTGTGTTATATATTTGTCTTCTCTTTTAAGGGTCCCAAGCCATCTCAGCATTTATCTTGCAGATACATTGCTGGGATGGATTAGGGAGAAGACCTAGATTTGCAGTACTTAGGTTCTACACAGAAACAGTCGCTATGGAAGGGGGTGGGTAAGGAGAGAAGGATTCTGAGGTGTATTCTGAAGGCTTGGTCATGTGATTATTGAGGCAAATCTGCAGACCTGCAGGCTGAGTCAGCAATCCGGAGTCCCAGGGAAGTATGAGGCTTAGCTCCGGTCTGAAGTCAGGCCTGAGAACGAGGACAGCCTCGCTATGGCTCCCGTCTAAAAGTCAGCAGGCTCAAGCTATGAGAAGCTGAAGTCTCAGTGGGAGGCTGACAGGACGAAAGGCATGTGCCCTGTCAAGGCCCAAAGGAAAGTTGTGTCCTGATGCAAAGCCAGAGCTTGTCCTGTTGGGAAAATGCTCTACCACTGAGCTGCATCCCTTGCCCAGCCCCTTTTTACTCAGGCCTTCTAACTGAACTGGTCAGAAAGGGCCTAACCACATTAGGTTAGCCAAGTAAAATGTCAATCTCATGTAAAATACTCATGAGAACACCCGTAATAATAGTTGACCAAATATCCCATAACCCAGTCAAGCAGACACAGTAAACCGTCACAGCATGGTATATTGCTGTAGACAAGAGCAAGGGTACCCGTTGTGCCCGTGCCAGAAAGAGAACAGTGATGATGGAAATCCTTTCCTGTCTGCCAGGATCTCGCTTCTTCGCACTACTATAGCTAGACTAGTAAGGGGGACAGCCTGCTGTGTTTCCAGGGTCTTTCCCAGAGAACAAAGCAAGCTAGCGATATCTTCATTGGACAGAGATGCCTGACCAAAAGGCCGAGTAACTGGACACCTATCGCTCGAATCACCTATGTAGGTCCCGAGAAACCGATGCTGACCCTCTACAAGCCAAAATGCCGTGTTTCAAGGCTTGAAAGGGTAAACGGTAAGGCAGGTGATGGTGGCACACACCTTTAATCCCAGCACTTGGGAGGCAGAGACAGGCGGATCTTTGTGAGTTTGAGGCCAGCCTGGTTTACAAGAGCTAGTTCCAGGACAGCCAGGGCTGTTACACAGAGAAACTCTTGTCTCAAAAAAAAAAAAAAAAAAAAAAAAAAAAAAAAAGGTAGCACATTGCCCCTAATCCCAATGTTTGGGAAGCAGAGGCAGATGGAGTTTGAGGCCAGCCTGGTCTATAGAGCTAGTTCTAGAATAGCCAGGGCTACACAAAGAAACTGTCTTAAAACTTTTTTTTTAAAGCCGGGCGATGGTGGCGCACGCCTTTAATCCCAGCACTTGGGAGGCAGAAGCAGGCGGATCTCTGTGAGTTCGAGACCAGCCTGGTCTATAGAGCTAGTTCCAGGACAGACTCCAAAGCCACAGAGAAACCCTGTCTCGAAAAACCAAAAAAACCAAAAAAAACCTTTTTTTTTAATTTTGGGTGGTCACAAAGGTAGGGGGCAGACCTGGGAGGACAGGGAGGTGTGATCAAAGTTCATGATGTGAAATTCCCAAAAACAAAAATCTTATGAAAAATAAATATTTTATCTTTGTGGTTTGGGTGGTGATGTCGGTGTCTCATCAGTCTCAGCCCTGAAGGGGACAGGTCATGTGAAGACGGATTTCTGTGTTAGGATGTTGAACCAAGAGGCTAAAAATTTATCCCATCAAATTTCACTGTCTTCTCAGTAATCATTAATGAGTTACTTAGTTTTATAGCTATAGCATTTTTGAATATGAAGATAAAATAGGACCATTAGGGACATAATGAATATTCAGGTCTGAATTACCAAAATCTGGGTTGAAATGTCAGGTATGTGTGACACCATACATTGGTTGATGGGACAAATCCTGATGACCAGTTGTGAGTGTCCTTAACCCTTTCAGCCCTTGGGATTCCAGCACCAGTACTGCCTGCACCAGGGGATTGTAGCCCTTTCTACTGGTGCTGATGGAGCTCACTGCCTGTATTTTTGGGCTCCTGAGGACAGCAACTGTGGCCTTCCATTTTAAGGATGCTGCTTTTAGAGTCTACTGCCTTGGGCCATGAAGCTAGTGGGTGCTTTCACTGTCTCCTCTTGCCTCTTTCTAAACAAAGCACACAGTGCCCTTTCTCCCTCACGTCACATGACTCTGGCTACAGATGCCTCCTGGGAGAGGAAAAAGAAAAGTTTATTTTGGTGAGAGACTGGGACCCCTTAGAAATGTAATCCCAGCACTTGGGAGGCAGAGGCAGGCGGGTCTCTGAATTCAAGGCCAGCCTGATCTACCGAAGGAGTTCCAGGACAGGCTCCAAAGCTACAGTAAAACCCTGTCTCAAAAAACAAACAAATACTCATTTCATGTCATATAAAACATGAGAAAGCTTGGCCAGAGATGTATTTTTGGCCTAGGTGCCTTCTGTTAAACCAGTGGCAAGAATCAGTTTTCCTGCTGGTGTCTGTTTTTGTGACCTTGATCCCATTAGGGAAGTCAGCAACAGTGCTGCAGTTTGCCACTTCGGTCAGCAGGGGCCAGCCTATCCCTGGGCTGCCTCGGGCTCCTGGCCTCCGACCTTAGAACTATAGCTAGTCCCAAGCTCCAAATCCCCATCAGCCTCCACGTCTCCGCCCAAATCCCAAATGAAGGACAGTTCCCCAGGCAACCGCAGCCTTGACGGCACAGCTGAGTGGGGACAGACCTGAGTGTCCACAGACCTTGGCGTTTAAGGCATCATCCCAATCTTGGGACTCAAGATGGTTCCGTTACGCTGAGAGGTCCTGGTGGGAGAATACCCAGAGAGCAGATTGAAATTCTTGTGCTGGGGCTCAGGTTGTCCCTCTGTGGAAGTGACAGATTATGAGAGAGCCTGCATCCATTATGCTCCTGACTTTGCTGAAGACCCTCCCCTACCAGCTAGGGTTTGGTTAGGGTCCAGGGGCAGATATGTTTTTTCTAGTGCTCAGTTCAAGACTGGAATGTTTTGCCCCCACTCCCTGGCATACAGTGAGCCTTAGAACTGGAAACCAAATAAAGCTAGTCTCACTAAACCTTACAGGGAGGGGCAGGCTCAGGCCCACCAAGATGGTTCAGTGGGTAAGGGCACTTGCCATCAGACCTGATGAACTGAATTGGATCCTCAGAAAACACATGGCAGAGGGGAAAGAACCTTTTCCTAGGGATTGTCATCTGACCTTTACTCCTTCATTCTGGGTTGTGCATGTGTGTGCATGTGTGTGCACGCGCGTATGTGTGCTGTCACCAGCTCATGAACCTCACCACCCCCCTATACAAAATTAGAAATTTTAAACATTTATTTAAAAAGCCACAGAGGGGGCTGGAGAGATGGCTCAGTGGTTAAGAGCATTGCCTGCTCTTCCAAAGGTCCTGAGTTCAATTCCCGGCAACCACATGGTGGCTGACAACCATCTGTAATGAGGTCTGGTGCCCTCTTCCGGCCTGCAGGCATACACACAGACAGAATATTGTATACATAATAAATAAATAAAATTTAAAAAAAAGCCACAGAGGCCTGGCTCCCAATGTGGAGTTAAAGGCGCACTGAGAGTGTGGGTGGGAGGGAGGCTCACCAGCTGGGCAGCTGTCCAGCACAATGGGAGTCTGTCAGCCGGGCCTCTCAGGGCTCTTTGCTGCCGAGAAGCACTGGGGACAGAGTGTACATGTCCTGGATGTGCTGGGAACCGCCTCCACCCCGGCCCTGTGGAATTCAATTCTTGGTAATTTTCCTGTGTTTTGTTCTGGGAGAATATCCTAGCAATGATTTGTAGCAGCCAGCTCCCTTCCTGGAGGACCCGTGATCTGTGGCTGTGGATAGGGATGGGGTCACAGGAGACATGAATCCCGCTTTCAGTCCTGATGAGAACGTCATGTTTGTGTTGAGTTGTGTGTCTTAATCTCAGACAACAAGGTTCCAGGGCGGACTTAAAGTTCTGGGAACTGGGAGTGAGGGGAACAGCTAGCAACTTTAGAAGCATAAAGGGAAGCAGATTCTGGTGTGCCTGGTCCCAAATCAACTTCACCTGCTTCTAGTCCCAGATACTAGCAAAGAGGACTTCCTACATCCGCAGCTACAGCCAGAGAAGGCAGGAAGCATCGGCCTAACACACTCTAGTACAGAAACCAGATCTGACCCCACCAGGCTCTGGAGGGTCTGTCTCAGTATACCCCATCCATCCTTCTCCAAGGTCCTTATTTGCGGCCTTGCTCGGAGGCCATGAGTAATGTGTACCCTTACAGTGACCCCACCAATGACTTTATCATGTTTGCTGAGAGAAAAACAAGCCACAGGGTACCAGTGCCAGAATCCTTCTTACCCTCAACCATCCTCAGCTGCCCCATGATCTGCCCCCTCCTCTGCACAGCCTGGAGGATGGCATGGTATCAGCCCTCCACTGCCTCTCACGCTTGCTGCCTCTCATCCCTCCCTTCCCAGAGACTGCTGGTGACAACCAGTGCCTGTGCCAGCTCAGCAGAGGCCACCAGCATTGACTCCCAGCCCCTGCTTCAAAGGCTACCTGCTTTTTCTGACGTCTAAAGCTTTTATTATGTTTTATTAAATTTATCATTTTAATTTCATATATATGTACTATATGACCATCATTCCCAAACCTCTTCCCACTTCCTCTCAAATTCATAGCTGCTTTTTAAGTTCATATATATATATGCACATATATGTACATACATATAAATATATAAATACTACCTGCTGATTCCGTTTACTGTTGCTCATACGTGTATGTTTCCAGGGCTGACAACTTGGTACTGGATAAAGGCTTCCTCTTTCATGATGCCCGTCTCTCTTGGCCGTCTGCCACCTCTAGATCCTTCGCATCTCAAGCAGTTGTGACAGATAGATGCTGCGATCGCCCTGGGCTGCGCCCTTGGGCTCTCCTGCCTCCCTCCCTGAGAGCAGTGACGGCTTTTTCTCACCAAATCTCTGCACCTGGGTGTGCCA